TCGAGGGAGGGGATTCTCCCCCTCTACTCTGCTTTTGTGAGACCCCCCCCTGCAGTGCTGGGTCCAGCTCTGGGGCCCCCAACGTAAGAAGGACATGGACCTGCTCAAGTGGGTCCAGAGGAGGCCACGAAGATACTCAGGGGGCTGGAGCACCTCCCCTGTGAGGCCAGGCTGAGAGAGTTGGGGTTGTTCAGCCTGGAGAAGAGAAGGCTCCAGGGAGACCTTATAGCGGCCTGCCAGTGCTCACAGGGGGCTACAGGGAAGGTGGGGAGGGACTCTTTATCAGGGAGTGTAGTGATAGGACAAGGGGTGATGGTTTTAAACTGACATAGGGTAGATTTGGATTAGATATGAGGAAGAAATTTTTTCCTGTGAGGGTGGTGAGGCACGGGCACAGGGTGCCCAGAGCAGCTGTGGCTGCCCCCTCCCTGGAAGGGTTCAAGGCCGGGTTGGACGGGGCTGGGAGCAACCTGGGCTGGGGGAAGGTGTCCCTGCCCGTGGCAGGGGGGTTGGGACTACATGATCTTTAAGGTCCCTTCCAACCCAAACCATTCTATGATTAGGAAAGTGTCTTTTGGGGAGAATCTGCATCTTTTCCTGGAAGAGTTAAAAATGTCTTTTATTATTATTAAATGGCAACTATTTTGCAACAAAAAGTACATAATTTGAAAATTATTAAAAGAAAAGTTATTTCATATGTGTGTACTTGTTCAGGAAAGTCTATTCACAGCAAAGAGTTTTATCTGTTTATATGATCAGCTCTGAATGACAGCTCTTCACCAAAGTTATCCCACTTTGCCAGCTAATCCAGTATGGTTGAGATTCCCGGTTCCCACACAAAACTCCTGTAAAGCAAGGTATGTTCCACAGCTGCCTCATGACCTGAATTGCCTTTATAAGTCTTCAGCTGTAAAACTGATCACACCATGGTATGCTGGACCATGATTAACCATGGACTCACTGTTGTCAAGTTTTAGAAATGGCTGATTCGCTTCCTATTTTCTAAGATCCATTTTCCAAAACATGAAGTAAGTCTTTTCCACAGGTGGATCAAAGCATTTAAAAAAATTACCCATTTTTCTTCCCTGTCTAAACTGAGGATTTCCATGTTGATATTCTCCAGGATGGGGTTTTTTTCAATGAACTGATGATAATAAGAATAAACCCATAACATACAAGTTTTAAAATTTCTTACTGAAGTCAGCTGAACTGCTCATCTCAAGATATATTCAAGATTGTCATCAAAATTATAAGACTGCAAGCTCAGGCAACCTACTCCAGGAAAATCTACTTCATAAATATTTTCCCCCAAATTTGCAAAAAGATCTAAGGTAGTTGGATACTCAAATTCTATTAACCATGTGCTTCTACATCCACAAAATCAAAGCCAGATGGCATCATACTGGACAAGTCACTTGGTTTTCGAGTGCCTCAATTCATTTACGGGCAACATGGAAATAATATCTGTCTATCCCGTTGTTCAAAGAGTCTGTAATGTAGGCTGCAGTTGTCAGATGTGCAGGGGTAAGAATAATTGTTTTAAAGAGTGGAGGGGAAGGAAATCATCCAATGCACCTAAGTACAGTCTCTCCAAGTGCAATAAGGCTCTGTACCTGTGTGACAAGCTGCTTGCATACAGAGGCTATTGTTTTCTTACAAATACTGTATTTCTATATCTGGAACACTTTCAAGTGTCAGAGTGCACCAGACATTAATAGAATTAAACTAACGTTAAGATGATGGTCCAATACGCCTCTGCATGTGATTGCATGAAAGGTACCATTAAAGAATAATGCATTCCAGCAGCCAGGTGAGACAACATGTCTCAGATGGAGATAATCAAGCTCCCCTTTGGGAATTTACTGCTCACCATCCACAGCAGCCATGTGTCACACAAGAACAATCCAGATGCAAGAGTGCCTTAGAGCTGATTTGAAATACTGTCACCTGACGACAATGAAAACTGTTTCTCAGTGACTAGCAGACCTTTAAACCAAAGTGCTGTCTTAGAAAGACAAACAATGGCAGGATATTTCAGAACATTTCTCCCTTTACATTAGCTTCCACCATGGTTATGTGCCCAGTTTTACAATACATACAACTACCTATAGTGTGCTGCTTCCATATGACTGAAGTAAATGATCTAACACAAATATCCCCCAAACTGATTCTACTAAAAGTTATTACACTTTTCTTCCTGTGGCCATGATATGACTTGTAACAGCTTTTTTCTGAGTAGGTATGTATGTTAATACTAATGCAATCTATACGACTGACTGGAAGCAACACTCTACTAAAGGTTGGTTGGCCAAGTTTTCTAGCAGAATATTCACTACTTGCAGAATATAATTAGGTTCCTGAGGCTAAAATCCATCTTGCAGATCAGTATTTGAATCCACCAAAAGGACTCTTTTATTTTTGATTCATAGTTCCTGAGAGAAGATGTTTTGAAAATGTTTGAGATGGATCAGGTGTGTAAAGTTGTGGTGTCCAGCAGTCACACAACCTACCCCTTTCCCAGGATGCTGTGTCCGTACTTAATTGGACAGCACACATTTCCAAAAGATTTATTTTCCCATCATCTTCCAGCTACCAAATTATTCATACTGTATTTTAGAAAACTGACAGGAGGAAAGGCACACAAGTGGGAAAATTGGTGGCTTTTTAAGCATAAAAGAAACAAGTAGGACTCTGTAACACTTGAAACACCGGAGAAAACCAAAAGAGGTCCTGGGGCACTGGAGAAGAGCGAGAGAATCAGACAACCTAACTGCAGTCTTTGGGAAGCTAATGGAACAAGTTATTAAGCAGTTAGTTGTTGAGCATCTAAGATGACAATATGATAATAAAAAGCAGATAATGTGAATTTGTCAAGAACAAATTTTTGACAAGAACGAATCTTCTTCTAACACAGTGAGCAAGGGAGAAGCCACAGATGTGACAAACTTGGTACTGATTGGATTTTTAATCTAAGTCACCTGAGAATCTGACAAGATCCATAGGGAATTATGGCCTAAACTGAAGAGCAGTTATGACTACTACATGACATAGTAATTAGGAATACTTCTCTTGCAAATTGGGAGTCAAATGGGGTTCCATAATGATCTGCCACACACCTAGCTTTATTTCATATTTTCCCTGTTACACGGACAATGAAACTTAGAAAGCACACTTTCAGAATCTGGGCTGATAACTAAGCTGGGAAAGATTGCAAGCAGTTTAGTAAACAGCACTCAAAATGATTATCTGAAAATTCTACAGAGGCAGACGCAAAGTACTACAATGATGATCATGAAAACAAATTAAAATATAAGGGGAGAAACTAGCCATACAACAGAAACACAGGAAAAAAACCTAGAAAGTTACAGTGGGTTGCAGTTAGAGTGAGAGTAAGAGTGCAATGGGGTACAGCTGGGAAAAAAAAAAAAAAAAAAAGGATGTTAAACTCGGCACTATGAAGATCTATGTCACAAGAAACAAGTATTTTGCTCTGCTCAGCAACAGTGAAACATACAGCAGTTGGCAAACAACGTACAGATTAAACGCCACCTTTAGAGAAAACTGCAGACATAGTGGAGAAAAATCTAAACTTTAAAACTGCATTATCAGTAGGAAAATGCTAAGAGAAAAAAATTGGTTTAGTGTAGAATAATGTGGAAAGACGAAAGGGTGAAGTTATAATCTTCAAGTTCTTCTCCATATAAAAGACAAAAATGGAATATCTTTATACCCACCAAGGATAGAACAAGTATTCACTGGCATCATTTGCAGCACAAAATATATTAGGGAGAAAATCTCACTAGAAAAATCATCATGTAATGGAATTACATCAGCAGATCATGCAGTTCCTGTCACCGAAACTTTTTCAAAACAGATTAAACAAATTCACCATGAAACATTTTGTTAGAGGTTTCTGTAAGATTCAACACAATTTTAATGAATGTTAACTTGGTGCTACTTCAGAAATAAAGAAAGGTTAGAAACATCACGCTCACATATATATATATATGTATATATAAAATAGCCAACTACAACAAAGTGAACATTTTACTTCAGTGACATCTGTGTGAACTCACAAAGCAGGACTTCTGCTGATGTGAATAAATTCAATACAGGAATTGAAAATCACAATTTTGCCTGGTTTAAGCAAAAGACCTGTAACTCCTGTATTTGAAAACAAACAGTGGTATTCCAACTTAAGAGGCAAATGCTGATTAGTGGTCTGAAAGCAAGGTGCAAACAAAGCTGCTACACAGGCAGGAGGAGCTGGGGCAAATCTGAGCTGCTTCAGGCAGGTATTTAAAGCTTAGCAGCTGCACCGGCCAGGCTCTTACATGTATGTTGCATACATGTTTGAGCACAAAATTAATTCAACGATGCTGGTTTGTAATCAGCTCAGCAACACTGTTTTTTGCATTCTATCTTCGGCAAAGGGGACTCAAGTCAGATGTTTATCAGTGTAAACTCTTTTTTCGTGCGTACCCCGCCCCACCCACCCCCCCCGCAACGACATCCTATCATCTTCCTTGCATTACTAAACAGAAGATTCAGGCAAGAATAAAGACTGTCGCACCTGAAACCTATTCCCGCCTTAAAATCCACCAGCTGCCGTCCCACCGGGTCCCTCACGAGTTTCCGAACTAGCCCGTTCCCAATTCCGGGCGGCTCGGCCGCGCAAACAGCTTTCCGTTTGGCTATCAAGGAGACCTAACGGCAGTTTACAGTTCTCCCCTCGCCACCCCTGCCACGACCCCACCCTCCGAAGGGCGAGAGGAAGGGCCGGGGCAAACCCCGAGCCGGGGCAAACCCCGAGCCGGGGCAAACCCCACTGGGCCCGCACGGGCAGGCGGGGGGGCAGCGGCGGCCCCTTCCCGCCCCTCAGGCCGCCTGACGCGCCGAGGAGCGCAGCCCCTGAGGGGAGCCCCAGGCGGGTGTCGCGGCCGTTTTTCCGGCGGCTCGGCTCGGCTCGGCCCTTCCCGGTCCCGTCCCGCCCCGCTCACCATGGCTCTGGCGGCGACACGCTGCCCACCTCTCCCTGCTACCGCGGCGTGACGCCACGCCTGGCAACCGAAGCCCCGCCCAGGCGCGCCGGCTCAGCGATTGGGTGAGGGGACGGGAGGGGCGGGGCTGTCACCGGGACAGCGCTCCGCCCGCCGGAGGAAGCGGAAGTGAGGAGGTGGCGGTTGGGGGCGGTTGTGGCGGCCGCGGGGCTCCGGGCCCCTCCAGCGGGGTGGCTCCTCTGCCCGGTCCGGTGTGCCGGGGATCGCGGCCGGAGCTCGGCGAGCGCTGGACTCGGTCCTTGTTGGCCGGTAACCGCTGTGGGGCGAGAAACCTCTTTTCCAGAGCGACGGGTAACGCCCAGCTCTGGTTTACCGGTAAGGTGCGGGGCTGAGGTGAGAGGGGGCTCCTCCGAGGCGCGGCGGGCGCTGGTGCCCGGGGCTGGGCCGCTGGTGGTTTTCCGAGGCCCTCGTGGGTTGTGACTCAGCGGTGTTAATACAGGATTTCCTCGCGTTGTTTGTCATGCGGGGGGTTTTGCGGGGCACGGTGTTAGCTGGGAAGTGCAGCGGTTAACGATTCAGCCTATGAAGGAGTTTTGCCTATAGGGATGTAATAAAAGGTGGGGTGAGGGGTGCAGAGGCTTACACCGAGGCTTTGAAAGCAACAGGACAGTAAGAACACTGTAACAGGAACAGTGAAGGAGCAAGATCATCAGCAGATGGTCTCAGATGAAGCAGGTAAGATCAAATGCTCATAGTCAGTTTCTTAGTGAGTATTCTTGTCTCTGAGTAGCTACATTTTCATTCTCCCTCCCCAAACAAGTAAAGATCCTCAGTGAAAAATGAATAACCAGTAGTGGTGATGAGCATGTCATGGTCTTAAATGAGCAAAAATGTAACTCCAACTGTAGAAGCAACAGATAGCAAGATGTTCCTGTATCTGTTGTTTGGGAAAAGTCCAGGAGGGAAAGTAATTTCTTTTGTCTTCTAGTCATCACAAAAGATAAACCTACCTTTCTCAAAACAAATCATGAATCTATAAAGCTGGTAGTTGCATTTCACTGCTACCATTGTATTTTCAGAGCAGAGAGCAGCAGCAGTGGAAGTCAAAAAAGTCTTAGTTAAGCCTTTTTGGTTAGTAGTATAATAAAAGAAAGCAAGGGCTTTGGGAGATCTCCCTTGAATAGCAGGGAGAACTAAAGCAAAAAAAAACCAAACAAACAAACAAAAAAAAACCACAACAACAACAAAAAAAACCAGGATATAGCAGTCTCAAATTAATGTAGTTAGTGACTGACCCTAGAAAAGAGAGGTGAGTTGCCTGGGAAGTTTGGAGTGGATGGACCTGTGGATACAGGGAGGCTATGGTCGACAGAGTTTGTGGATAGGGGAGAAAATGGCCAGAATGGCAGTTTGGGCCAGACTGGGGGTAAAGATTTAATGTTGGCTTAAACTAAGCATGTGTAGCCACTCAGGGCACTGATTCCTGCTTTGGCTGGGAACTGTCTCTGTTAAAAAAAAGTTGTAAAAAATTGCCACAGTTTCCTTTTCACCTCTTGATCTGCTTTAAGCACAGTGTGGGAATTCCCTTTCTTGTGGTTCTGTGATGATCTTAGGGTATCTCTGAATGGTCATGCAGTTGTATTCTGGGAGCGTTACAGAGTTCTAAAGGGTAATATGAGGGCTCACTGAAAGGAGGAGGGAGACTGAAAAGAGAAATTTGAGGAATGGAAACTGGAACTGGCTGAGGATCAAGAGATAGGAGTCAAAGTACAGCTCTTAGTGAAAAAAGAAACAAGTGCCAGAAAATCTCATAGGCCTTCCCCTTTTAACTCTTGGTTCTGGTGTGGTTTTTATAATTTGGGGACTTTTTCCTTTGTTTTGGTGTGCCTTTTTTCACTGTGCTACTAAACAGGAGTTTAGAGGCCATACTAGAAAATAAGGTAATCCAATATTAACTGTCACTCTTACCTTGATAATGATTTTTGGTTTTTTCTTCCTCAGATGTACGTGGTTAGGAAGAGCTAACTGCTGAAGAGAAAATGACCTCTCTAGAAAAAGGTAGGTAGTTCACATGGTGTCTCAGCAGACTGGTCTAGAAGTACTTTAACTTGAATTCTAAAGATCAGAGTTACATTGTATGCCAGGCTCCATTCATTTGAATTTATTCCTTTTATGTAGCTATTAGGAAGTAGTTATGTGACTTCATTATTGCAGTGAAAACCAGAGCTTCCTGGATGGCAGAATTAATTGTAGTTTTCTAATCCAGCTTTGTATTGAAAAACAAGTTTGTCGCTGGTACTGTCATCTGTATGTACGCTTGTATGTCAACCCTCCTCTAGTATTTAGAACCTGAAAAGGTTGCCAACTTGAAACCAGGGCAATATCTTGGTGTTACTACAGCATTTTTGAAATTCATTATTTGGATAGAAGACGCAGGCTCCCATTAACAGCCTGCAGTATGAAGAAACAGCTGTATGTGTAGCTACGTTGTAAGAAACTTTCTTGCCTTTGTCCCTTGCAAGGAAACTTTGCTACAGTAATATTTTATTCAGCTGAAGACTTAAATTTTACTGAAATTCATTTTATTTAAGTTCACTGTCACGCATATTGGGCAATTTAGAGCAGAATGCATCATTACTGGGAATACCAGGCTGTGTTGATTAGAAATGAAGCAGAACTGGCTTGTTGGCTTTTCTTAAACCTTCTCTTGGACTAGATTCAAGGTAGATAGTACTTAAAAATCTGCAAAACTCCTTAAGGTGTTAGTAGTTATGTAGCTAATAGCAGCTTTTCATTTAATTATTACTTTTAAAATGAGACTGCTCTGATTCTGTCAGCAGCTTCTAGAACCTGATTTTACTTTCAGCCTATGAGTAATATTGTCAAGAATTTTCTCCATATTAGCTCTTTTTCATGTCTGTGTTTAATCTTGTATGTCAGCAGGAAATTAGGATTAATGCAATTCAGATCAATGTTTGTGTCTTGTACTATTAGTATTAATGAGCAATACACACTTGAATAAGGACTTTTCTAACTTGTGCTTGATAACTGCAGCTGCAAAGGACTATTTTACACATGCAGTGTGCAATTAAAATCTCTAACTTTGAAGTACGGAAATTAAGTGAAGAGTTACAGTGAGACTATAACAAAGTGAAAGGTGGTAAACTTTCCCTCCACTATTTTTAAATTTTAGTTGATGATGCCTCATCACCCATCCGAGGACCTGGAGATGGCATGGAAACAGAGCAGACAGCTGAATCAGTGGAAGTAATCACGGGAGCCAATACTACGAACCATCACATCCATCACAGCCCACATAAAAAGACAGTCTCTTCCCTGAGTCCCGGAGTTCTGCAGCTAGGGAAAGTACATGCTGATAAATCAGTGGAGATTGAAGCGATTCGTATATTAGTACCCAAAGCAGCTATCACCCATGTTGTTCCAACTAAAAATGCTAAGGTTGCTAAATCAGTGGGACATAAAGGAGACACGTTCCATCAGTCAGATGGAGACACAGATCCCAAGAAAGAACAGATAGAGCTGAAAAATGCAATTGAAAAGCTAAAGAATTCAGAAAAACGGTTGTTGCAGGATAAAGAAGGTCTCTCTAATCAGCTACGTATACAGACAGAGGTAAGAAACAAAAGGTATTTTCTCTCACACAACTGAGCTGCTTTGGTTTATATAAGCGGTTTGTGAATGTGACCAAAGAGCTGTCCTGACACTATAGCCTTGAAACAAATAGTTTCCCTTTTGAACTTACCAGCTAAGATACAGAGTATATCTAAGTAATCCAGTGCTGCTTGTTTGAGAACAGATGAAAGAATCAAATGCTTGAAGCTGGGAGAAATACATTAGAGGGCTGCAGGGAAATTAATTTTTCATGAGGAAAGATTCTGCTCCTCAACTCAACTGCTATGTGAAAAATGTTATGTCATAGAAGGGAAGACTATGCTTTTCTACATGACATAATCTGTTAATGTTTTACCTAATCCTTTATCTTACTGATTCAGGACTTGAATGCTACTGAAACTTTCTTTGTTTTTTGTAGCAGGCTTTCATTTTTCCTCTTTGATCTCTGTTAGAATTTTGATGAACATTTAACACGTTTGCATTTGTCTCAAATGTTTATGCTCACTAGAGTGGATCGTGAGGCTTAATATACTCTGCATTGGATGTGTCCCATTCTGGAAAGAGAAAGGCCATTTATTGTTAGCAGTCTGCAGTAACTTGCATTGCATTCTGGAAGTAGGAGGTGTTTCATCCTATATTGATAATTACAGGACAGTCTGGTCTCATTCTAGGTGAATCGGGAGCTGAAGAAATTACTTGTTGCTTCTGTTGGGGATGATCTGCAGTATCACTTCGAACGGATGGCTCGTGAGAAAAATCAGCTAATCCTAGAAAATGAAGTCCTGGGCCGGAATATGTCTCAGCTCTCTGAACAATTAGAGCGCATGTCTATACAGTGTGATGTGTGGCGAAGCAAATTCCTAGCAAGCAGGTACTGCCTCTCCCAGAGCTGTTGTAACAGCATTCTCCTTCAATCTTTTATTACGTACACCCATCGCAATGCCTGGCAATGTGCTTATGTACACGGGGGACGGCCACAATAGCTATACTGACACCTACTATCAAATCTGAGCATACAGAAAATATACAAAGAAAGTAAGCTCCTTGTAAATCTGAATAGCTCTGCATTTCAGAGCTAATACAGTGGGTCCTAAATGTCCTAAAAGCTTAACTATGGTTCTTGTCAACATAGCAAGAGAAGTTCTTAATTCTGATACTGTGTGCAGTTTAGGGTTTAAAAATGTTTTTCAGGACAGCTGTCTTGATGTGTCTTAAAGGTAATTAGCTTGATTTTCATCTTTGCCCCCCGGTAAGATATAATCATCTGTTTGTGAAGAGGTTGATTTGCTTAAGAACTCTGCTTATAGTGATTCAGGGATCTTCTGGAAGAGCAGCTCAGTATGGAAGAGTGAGCAGGGAGACCTCTTCATTAAACACTGGTTGTGCTACTGCTGAGAATCCTACTGTTACTCTGTAATCATGAAAACTGGTCTGAATGTCAAAATCTCATTTGACAATGGATTAGACTTGTAACTGGATAAGTGTAGCTGTCTTACCAGATCTGTAAATAGTGTTCTAGGATTTTTAATCTTCTACTGTACTCAGATATAACTGACTAAATTTTAACTGTGATGCTTAATGCATATTACAAATGACCTTACCGCTTGAAGAAAATGGTAATAAAATACAGTCTCCTCCCTTTAATTTACTGGTCTTAAGAAGTTGCAGGATATTGAGTGAATGATAAGTACTTGTGATAATCCTAGCTAGGCAAGAGTTACTATCCTAACTTAACTTGTTTCTTTAGCATTAACAGCAGTTCCGAGATCAGGGGCGCAAGTCCCTGGCGATGTGCTTAGAGTAGCACCCTTTGATATTGTAATGTTCTGGTTCACTGAGAGCTCGGATTTTCTAGCTGCTGTTGTTTAAATGTCATTCTGGTTTCTGCATTTGCAGTATTGCAGGCATTTGAAATACCTGCTTGAGGGGTCAAGGCCAAGCCTTATGGCGTAGGAAAATGTGACAACTGTTGTCTCATTTGTAGCTCTTAAATGCTCTTATCTGGTGTATGTAACTTCTAGTTATTGCCCCAGAGAAAGGCAGAGGTGAATGAATGCAGTCTGTAGCCATAGCTGTCATCTTTAGAGAGCATGAAAAGATGTGATCACAGCATACTTGTGAGAACCGTGTTAGCAAAACAAAATGTATTTAGCTTTTTATCTCTCAGGATCCTTGTCCACCATGTTCACTTACCTAAGGTATTTTGAAATGTCTGGTACTAGATTTGTATTAAGTGACGTAATTGTTTAAACTCAGCAAGTCAAAACATAATCTTGCACTTATGCTGACTCTAATTGAATAGAAATTATTTTTAATACGTGTCCTTTGTAGTTAGGTTGATATAGGCTCTGTATGAGGGAGGGGTATTAGAACAGCAGCTTAATCCTTAGTTTGAGCTGACAAATTATGGTCTGTAGTAGAATAATGGTAACTCACACTGCTCGCTCACAGTACTGATTGGCGATTTCTCTTGCAGGGTTATGGCTGATGAGCTAACCAATACCAGAGCAATTCTTCAGCGTCAAACCAGGGATGCACAAAGTGCAATCCAGGACTTGCTGAATGAACGCGATCAGTTCCGTCAAGAGATGATTGATACACAGAAGTAAGATTTTTCTAATCCAGACTACCTCTCTGAAAACGTAATTTCTGTCAGTTTGTTCCGGGCTAGAGAAGAACCAAGTAACTTCCCCTGTTCCAGTGATAGTCAACAAAAATCAATTATCCAGCTGGATAGCATGGTCACTTTTCAGTTTCAGAGCTGAAAGAGCTGAAGTAGCAGTAATTCTTTTTTCAGTCCCTGAAGGTGTGAGGTCTTAGGGGTAATATACTGTAGAACTGACATCCCTCGTATCCTCAGGCTTTCTCTGTTTAATCACTTACTGTCATGACTTCATCTCCTCCGTCTCCTTCCAAAACTTAGATTCTTCTACCTGCATGGACTTTTTAGTGCTTATCCTGCCAGATGTCAAATAAGTTTTACCAGTATTAAAATACTGTGTTGGTGAGGCCTTGCCTTGGAGAGTAACTTGTTTGCCTTCTTGTTTTTAAACACTACTTTTTTTTTTTTTTTCCCATTTTTTTTGTTAACATTTAGCTTGTGCAGTAAGTGTTGGGAAGGGACGATTCCTCAGAAGTATGCTGTGTGCTTTTTGTATAGAGTACAAAAATCACTAATAGTGCTTTTTTCCGTTCTGCACAGGCTGTTGGAGGAGCTGATGGTTTCTCTTCAGTGGGGGCGACAACAGACATACTATCCTAGTGCCCAACCTTATACTACAACAGAGCTAGCAGCTGTGAATTGTAAGCTAGCCAAAGCTGTAAGCTCACATCTTCTTGGAAATGTTGGCGCTAATAGTCCAAAAAAGACTTCAACAGCTGTGGAGTTTTGCAATACCCCTGCTGAGAAAATGGCTGAAATGGTAAGAGCTCTTCGTACAACTCAGTCTGTCAGCACGGAACCTTCTTTCCAGAAGGAAATGGCTTGCTTTGTGTTAACTGCTTAATATCTTGCCTTTTTAAAAAACTATATGCAGGGCAAACATGCTGAATAGAGCTGTCTGTTTCCTTCATTAAAAAAAAAAAAACCTACACCCTCCCCAAAATCCAAACAGAGAAGCCCCACACAAAAAAACCCAAAACCAACCAAACAAAAAACCTTGGGAGAATAAGCAGAACAATATAAATAATATAATGATACATACCGTTTCCTTCTCTATCCCTAGCACCACAAATGACTGGGTCAAAATCTGTTTAGAGTTAGTTTGTCAGAAGGAAGACAATTGAAAATATGTAACTGAGTTTAAAAACTGAGTGGGAGAAGAAATTCAGGTAGGAGTAAGTCATAACACTTCAGTTTCTGTTGCCCTAAAAATCAGTTTTGTTGAAAGTGGGTGGAAACAGAGAGAGAAGCTATATGATTATCTTTCAAGATAAGGTTCCACTGCAGGAAGTTTTATGTTTAAGTGGCAAATTAGAGTAACAGTTTAGTCTGGAAGCAATTGAGTAATAGTTGAGCAGGAGGAGGGTCACAGTGCCTACTAATTTGTGTTGTTCCTGCCTGGTTTTGCTCAACTCTGCTAAAAAGATTAATTTTTTTTTATTAGTCTCAAACCATACCTTGGATTTCTGATGAACATTACTAATTTTATAAACAGTACTTAGTGTCTTCATCTTGAGAGTCTGAATAGGTGGGTATTTGGTTTTCAGCTTGGAAAAAAATTGAAAAATTGCTTTTGAGCAGAAATCCTTCCTAGCTCTTAGAGAAGGATAAAACCTATTAAGTTTAATAGATACCTCTTCAGTTTCAATTTTTCCATCCTTAGGTGCTACGTGTACTGGATCCAGCTGCACGTACAGAAACATCAGCAGAAGTTTCTTTTTCGGAGACTTCTCCATCCTCCTTCCTTTCCACAAAGAAGAGTATTGGAAGGTTTCACCCATATACAAGATACGAAGATGTAACTTTCAATTGTTGCAATCGCTGTCAGGGAGAGCTGATAGCCCTTTAAAACACAGTTGCTGCAACTGCACATGCACTCTGTCTGAAGAATTACACTAGTTGATGTTCAGCAGGCTTCCTTTTCCCCTGTTTCTTTCCATAATGGGTGGGTTTAACATTGAAAATGATGCAGTTTCTGCTTCTCTACCTCTTGAAGTTAGGGACAGACAGGATTTCCTTAGCCTCTGGGTCACTTCTACTACTTTTCAGTCTGGAAAGCTACTTATTTTCTTCTGCAAAGGCAAGACCAAAAATGTTATGCTGGTCCAATCTGTAAAGCATAGAGATGCCCTTGACTATTTAAGGTTTACAGTTTTACTAGCAAATCTCAATGAATTTCTCTTTAGAGGGAGACAAAAGCATACAATGCCAAGGTAAATGAAGTGCTGATGGGTTATGTTTTTAAAAAAAAAAAAAAAAGTGACTGAAAACAGTCAGCTCCATGCTTTTTTTTGAAGCTTAACCAAGGTGATGAACTGTCTCCAAGTCTGTGTTCAGCCTTTTAAATTTAGTAATAAAAAGGAGTATGTGCAATGATTCTTCTAAGCTCTGAAAGTAAGAGCATATATGGTGTTACAGCCCTCCTGGCAAGAAGGGGAAAGAGTTTGATTGAATGAACTCTAGCTATAATGTAGAAGTAGTAACTGGTTTGAAGTGGATTCTGGAAAACTCTGGGGTGAGATTATTCTTGTGTTTCTACAAAGCTAAAATAACAGCTTTTCCATCTATTTCAGTTACTAGAGTGAAGCTGTTGCATAGCTGATCCTCAGTAAAGACACACTGATCCACCTCCTGTAGTACATAGTGTTGAAACCTGACCTAGCATTAGAACTCGGTCCTTGCCCAGGGTCTTCCTGGGTGTTATGGGAAGCTGAAGACAAGCACTAAGTTTGCACAGGTACTGGTAAAAAAAAATATATATATTTTTTACTCATATCATTTTCTAACCTTGATGTAGGTTCCAAGAGAACTTTTAGCAGATAGGCTGCCTTGGATTTAGCAGATTATTTAAGTTGCAAATGTAGAGGAAAGGTGGGAGGATGCAAATAATGCATTTTAATGTCTTGGTTTCACTCCCGAATTTATCCTATGTAGCTGTCTACTTTGAGGAAAGGGTTTCAGAAATGGTTGGTTTTCCCCGTTTTGCTTCGAATCTCATACCTTGATCAGAATATGGAAGTTTAAGTTCTTGCTGTTGCAGGCCATGCTTTGGTTTGCACGAAGAAAGCTACAATAAACTTTCTTTGCTTGCTTTCAAGTTGCAATTTTGGATTCAGTATAGCTGTATTTCTGACCTTGTTTTCTGTGCAGCATAAAAGGAACTAGATGCCATTGAATTGTAAAACCCTTCACTACGGGTTTGAGGTAATGAACCAAGAGGCACTACTTTTGCAGCTTAGGGAGATAAGGTGAACCTTTGCAGACTTTCCCCCTGCACTTGCTTGCTAGGCACAAGAAGCATTTCTTGCTCTGGGTGTCCAGGGGAAGGTACAGGAAGGAGGAAGGCACCTGTTACTCATGTTTCCTATTGGCATGTGAAATGTGTGTTTCACATCCACACCCTTTATCTACGCTGGCAAAAACTGCACCACAGCACCCTCCAGTCAAACACCAGTACTCCTCAGTATGTCAATAACTATCTCCAAACATTGGAAGAGGAAAAATACTAATGGCACATTTGCTTTGTGTCGTCTACACTTCTGTCTGTTACAGTACTTCCCAAAAACATTGTGAATGTAAGAAAAATGCCAGATCATGAACTCTGCTGGACAGGGAGCTGGTCAGAATGCTCCTCACCTTCCTCTAACTTAATGATTCCATGAGTGACCTCAGCATATTCTCTGACAAGAATTTACAATTTACCTGGGTAGGGTAATGTAGTTTATTATAATTAATTTAGCAAACATGAACACGTATACAAAGAATCCAGCTTCCTTGATACTGGTAAAAGTCATAATTCACACCACCTTTTAATGTCATGGAATAGAAAACTACTGAATATGACTCACAGAAATAAGTTTCAAAACCTGTTGCACATTCACATACCTGTTAACCTTCAATGACTAAAATAAAATAGTCTTCCAGCCTAGCCTGAACTAACAGCTGGTCAACAGATCAATACAAAGTGGTACAAGAAACAGCATTTTCCAACAACATGACACCTTGTACAGTATTCATCACAAGCAGCAGCAAACAGCAATATTAATCCAGCAAAAATTCAACATTTTTCATAATAGCCTGCATCCAGGAATTCATGGTGGTGTTGAGTATAAAGTGCCTCTTAAAGACAGGAATGTGTATTTGCCACCCTCATATATAGATCTCACACTCATTTAGATTTGGTCAAACCAAGAAGATCCCTGAGTTATACATAAAAGCAGGCTTTTCAACAAAATTACAAATAAATAGATAGTAAAATCATTGTCAGAGAAAGTGATCGTTAAACTTGCTTGAAAGCTTTAAAAACACCACAAAAAAGTTTGTGGCTGTAAAGAGCAAAAGCTCAAGCCATAGAAGTTATGAGGGTTGCCACCAATAACTGGTTACATCAAACTTTCAACTGTAATGGTCTGTGAAGCGGAAGGATTTTGTCTCTGAGCTAATACAGTGGATGTTCTGCATCTGTTTTGCTCTTCGGGCTTCTAATCTGAACTGCCTTGCTCTCTCTTTAGCAGCTAGTTCTTCCGCTCGTTTTTCTTCTCTCTTTCTTTTTAGCCATCTGTGGAGAGAGGAAGAGGACTAGAAGTACTGACAGTTGCAACTGAATGTTTTACATCATCCATTCAAAGGAGACTGTTCCCCGTTTAACAAGTCACCTTGTCCTCTAGGATAATGTTAGGTGTCGTGGCTGAGCCAGTCTAAAAGCCTGACGCTCCTAAACTTGGGAAGCACTGCTTTTCCATCCCACTTCTCCAGCTTCTGCATCCACCTTTACCTTCCCCCTTTTGTTGAGCTGATTTAACTCACAAACTCGACGAAAAAAAAAAATATATTATTGGATTAACTTCCTGCTTGTTTAATGAACTGAATCAACCAATCAACCCAAGCCTGCTCCAGAACAGGCAAAAAGGGGTAGGGGAGAAGAATCTCCCTTTTTCAGCAGAAGTAATTCACCGTTTCAGCCCAGGTTCTAACAAGTAATTTCACAACAGTGAACAACCAGCATTAAAGAGCTGATGTATTTTTGCTAGGGTGTAAGTTTATGAAGACATATTTATGCAAAAAAAACCAACAAACCAGTAACAACTTCAGCAGTGAAGAGGTACCATATAATAACTACAGTCTTAAGATGGCAGACTACAAAGTTTTCAAATATGATTCCCTAGGAATGACCCTACTCACTCTTTAAAGGCTCTGTTGCATTCCTCGGTTCTTGGAAAAAAGGCAATTCCCTCAGCTTGGCGTCTCAAAATTTCTATCTGTTTTTCTTTCATGTGTTCTTGGTGCTTTTTTTTAAGCCATAACTTGAAGGCTTCTTCTGGATTCCTGCTTCTCTCCTGTTTAAAAAAAAACAGACGTATATACACAAGGCTTATCATTAAATGACCTTTATATTAATCACGTTATAATAATTTTTGGAACTCTGCTGGCATCTCCCATCCACAAAACATACTTTATAAGCAAGCTAGAGCATATGCTAATCTGGCATGGACTATATACACGAGCAGGCATCCAAAGCGGTATGTTTTAAAAAATACTGAATTTAACTTTTCAAGCCCATCGCTGCAAGAACTTTAGAACAGAGCATCTGAATCTTCAGCTTTTGCTCAGGTCACGTGCATTAACTGCTTGCCAACAAGTTTAGACGGTAAGGACTACACTTCAAAGGCTTTCTGGCTGCTTGTTTACCACAGGGTTCAATTAAGTAATTCTCCTGATAAAAAGGAGCTCCACTGCATCTCCCGTGACTTGATAGCTATGACGTTCATATATGCAGCTCCCAGGACACAAGCCACCCTGCCCAGCAGAACAATCCTAAACACGGCAGTCAATCTAGCCCTTCACTGAAAACAAGGTAACAAAACCATTTCCTATGGCTGTAAATTTTCCTATGCTTGGCTAAGCACAGAGGCTTAGAATTCGTTTTTCCTGTTTAACAAGAGCGCTGCAGATCCCAGTCCTACACTGGGGAGATCATACTTTGCTGTTCAAGTCTTCCAGCTCCTTTGCACGACGAATTCGCTTTTCTTCTTGCACTTGTTCTTTCTTTTTCTGTAACCAAGCTTTAAAAACCATCTCATTCTCTCTTCTCTTCTGCTCTTCTTGTTCCCTTTTCCTCTCTTCTTCCTTAAATGGAATGAAGAGTGAATAAACTTGTTTTTTTGTGAGAATCATCTTAAATCTGTGAAGGCCTTCATAGACAATAAACCATTTGAATTATGTGACAGAGACACAAAATTACTGAGGAAAAAGGAATACTCAACGACTTCATCATGGTTGATACTACTCTTAGGAAGAAACGGGTTTGAGCACTCCTGTGGCTTATGTTACATTCAGGTACTTTCAGTCTAACCAACCCCTTCAGTGATTACCTCCATTTCCATGATACTCGTAACTCACAGACCTTTCAATAGCAACAGGTGAAGACTTCTAAAATTAAGCCTGCCCAATAGCTCTGATTAGCTTAAAATCAGTTTAAACTGATGCGTTTTTAAAATGAATGCAGTTCTTGGGCTTGATGGACCACTAAGCCCTAAAAGATATTTAACTACCTATGGACTGCAGGCACTACCTTAGAAATAAGGATTTTTTTTTTTTTTCTGGACACGAAGCTGTAATGTATTTACTTGAGGAGTATGAATAGCTTAACGCTTTTTTCAAGTTTACAAAATGAACTGATTTTTACAAAACTGAGATAAGGGTTTTATTCATTATTAATCACATTTTAGCTAATGACAAGTATCTGCAAGGAGAAGAAAGGTTTTCAAACAATACTTCATAAAGCTGATTAGGACATTTTATGGGGTTTTGACTCTTTGACACACAAGCTACAATCCCCCTGCTCATTTCTGAGAATGAGACACTGGGAGAAATCTATTATTCTTGCGAACAGATGATGATCCTCCCACACACACACAACTTTCAGACTATCCTCCAAATTTACAATTTGTAATTTAGTGAAATGAAAGAAACCCCACCAAAATGAAGCAGATGGATTCCAGTAATGTCAATAAATGTTTCATGCCTGTGAAATCCATCACAGAATGGAAGAGCTCCATTCAAGAATGAAGAAATAAGGTAATACATTCTTACCTTTTCATAAGTCAGCCAACAGAGGAAGAGATTTAGCACACACTGTTAGGAAAATAACCTTCCTTACCTCTACCACTACCTTTAAATACGTAGAATATGGTGTCAAGAGATCTAGTCTTTTGTGTACAAAGAAAACACATCAGTAACTCCTCACATTTCATACCCCTCGTTACAGAGCTAAGCCTCAGTGAACTTTTCAAATAAAGCAGGCTAGACATATTTCCACAGATAGGAAGCAACTTTTTAAGCTACTTAGTCAGTTTACTTAGAACATCACTGCACAGAAAAATGCTAGATGCTTCATGCTCTTTTTATAGAGCAACACACATAGTAAGTTACCTTTTTGTAAATGTATTATCATAATACAAAGCAAAGAAAAACATCTAAGTTTTTAAAATCATTGGTAAAGATTTTTGAAGTTCCTGTTACAGTTGTCAGAGGCTGATTCTATTAACTATTTTTTTTCCTCAATAAGGAGCTGAGAAAGAATTAAAAGGGTTTTTTTTTTCCCAGTAGTACACAAGATACTGATTTGATTTTCTAAAATATAATCTTTTTTTTTTTTTTCTTTTAAATTACTGTGCTTTATAGGTACTAGAAGAATAATCTCAGTACTGGAAATATTTTCTTCTTTTCACTTGCATGCATCTTAAGCAAGCAACAAAGCATGCCACTTTCAAAGTCAGCTCTATCTTCCATACATGTTAAACACACTCCTCTTTGTTCATAGTTCTCACAGTCATTCTCCTGTGTAAATCTTACTTTATGACTGAACACTCTCCCTATGATAACTGCCTGTTACATACTTCATGAGCACCCAAATGTGCACCTGCATCACTGTGGTTAACGTTAACTTCCTACATTGCAGTGTAACCTGTGGAGGTGCGATACCATGTGCTACGTTCCAGTAAACAGTGGGCCTGTAATGGAACCTAGGCAGAAAGAGAGTCAATAAGCAAAAGCAATAATCACAATAGAGCAGAAGAAGGCCTGTTTTTATGAAGGCTATATTAAACAAATACTTAATTTCTCCTGTGAGCAAGGCAGGATCCTATGCCACTCTGTGCAGGGTTTTTTTAAGGAAAGGAGTTCTGAGAGATTCTGTACAAACTCCAGAGAATTATTGCTACTGCTGCCTCTTTTATCATGGAAAAAAAATGAGTAAATGCCCTGACCACGTGGTCTCTGTGAAGCAGAGGAACTGGATGGTCACTGTGATCTACTTGTCGCCTCGATATCTTTACCTCTTTCCTCAGTTTTTCCTTCCTTTGCTCCAACTGCTTCCGCAATTCTTTTTGTCTGGGAGAAAGACAGTAAGTAGAGCTTCTCACAGGCACATTTGCAGACTGCGCCCTCTGCGGAGTCTTCCGTTTTCCCAGACCTCTTGCAGCACTGATAGCGGAATTTGGACGACGCTTAGGGTTAGATGGAGGCTTAGGGAAATACACACGCTCTTCTCCACCAGGAGAAAAAGAATGTGCTCCTGGTCTTACTGGTGGTACTTCTTTCATTCGAGAGACAGTGCCAAAAGGACCGTAGTGTGAGGATTTTGGAGACATCTGTTGAGTTTCAATATCAGTAAAAGAAACGCTTATTGGGGGCAAAAAGCCCTGGCTTTCAATATCACATAAACTTAGGAGTTCAAACTTCCCATCTTTTTCCACTAGGATTTTACCATCCTTCTTTTCCTCATCCTTGCCAGCACGTGGTGAAAGTGATGTGCTTTCCTGTCCCATTTCATTAGAAATATGCAACCGAGATAGCCTATTTGAAACATCATCTCCTCTTGCAAGGTCAGTTTTGCAAATTTCAGCATCTTCTAAAGGAGGAACTTCAAGATCCACCAACTTATCCTTAAATTTTAATTTCCGTTCTCTGTTCTGATCCACAGGAGCCTGATTCTCTAGCAGTTTGTTGGCCTCCTCAATCTTTTCCAAGATGTAACGCTTTATTTCTTCATCTTCTTCCTCATCCAGTTCCTGCTGCTTTTCCAGCTTGGATTCTTGGAGAGAGCTTTCACTATCAGTATCAGATACACGGTCCCCCTGTTTAATATCAGAACTGGATTCCAAATTTTCTTCATTGGAGGGTCTCGCTTTCACATCTACATCTGCCTCTGAAAGCTGATTTGGATTTTCTTCCATTTCCTCATTGTCTTCCTCAAAGTTGTCCACAACTTTAACAATTTGTGCTTCAATATTCTCTTCATTTTTTTCAGGATTCTAAAAAAATTAAAATAAACTAGTCTATTCTCCCAACAAAGAACAGTATCAAAGAAAGAAAAAATAACGAAAGAGAAGAGCAGTACTAACTGCTCTAATTCTAAAACTGGCTGTCAAATAGTGCTTGTCGTAACTAATAGCTTTTTTTGCTCTAACAACTCTCCTGCAGTTTCTCCACGTTCACATCTGCACAAAGTTTAACTAACCATGGCTTGCACCGTGATCAGTGACAGCATAAAACCAGAACAGCGTGTGCTGCACAGACACTGAAAGGAACCCAGAAGTGCTTTTGAAACAAACATATCGTTTTCAATGAACACAGAAATTACTGGTTTAAGGCAATTATAACCAAACTAACCAGTTCCCTGAATTGTTTTTCACTATAATTCCAAATAATCTTCCTTGTCAAAATTCAGTGAATGTACCTACGCATTTCAAACTATATTGAATTTTGTGCTTTTGATTCCACATATTAATCAATTTTGTCTTCTATGACAGACAACTGGTATTTACTATAACAAATACCTCTATTTCACCAAGGTTTTCTTTTTCTTCTTCATTAATTAGCCAGTCGAGGTCTTTTTCAAAATCATCCTCATATTCTCCACTTTCTGTTAAATCACCCATATCCGCTGGATCTCCTTGGTTTTCCTTTTCACTCATTTTGGTGACGTATTAGAGTAATACTACAAAAAGGAGAAGGGAACAAAAATGTTTTCAAACTCTAGTGACCCACAAATATAGAACTTTGATACCTCTTATGCCACTGTGCTACAGCACCTCAGGACTAAGGACCACCAATGGTTTATAAACATGAACAGTTTTGGCCTTTCCAGCTCTGTCTACGAGGGGAAGATTTGAGTTAAAGCAAACCAAGGTGACTTAATGTCTTGCGTTGAGTCACTGACAGAGCTAAAACTTGAACTCATGATCTCTTAACTATTAGTCTGGTGTTTGGATAAAAAGACAGCTACTTTATGTTTTTTGGAAGTACTACAAGCTTTCATTGCTCCCAGGTGTGTTTTACATTGTTGTTTTGTATCTGTCTGGCCCATTTTCCTTTAAAGAAATCGTAACTTGTTTCGAGTTACACTATAAAAATGGGGATGCACAAGTCCTAGAAGATTGATGCCACAGCTTACAGTAGTTCAGATTACCAAAAAACTTCTCATAATGACATCTTCAAATGAGAAAGCATTCACTGGTTGGACTCTTGACAGAAACCTTCTGCTAGAGTGACTGAACATTTACAAGCAGCTAGCTTTCAAACCATATCACCTCCACTAGTGTTAAGGGTAAAGAAAGTTACACAGACACCAGTTGAGACTGCTGGGAAGTGGATTCTGTTCCAGTTTGAATTTCTGAGGAGGACAACAATGGGAAATACTGAGTAGCCAGTTAATCGGGCTGCATATAGTCATATTCATGATAAAACTGAAGAGAAGCCACTATAAGGATTGAATCCTTTAAGCAATCTTTGGATTGCATAGCACACAGGTGCCAACAGCTCCTGAAGGACTGCTTGAACACCAGTGCTTGGGGCTCCAGGCTGACTGCCTGCCGCCCCTCACCCAACAGAAGGCATCTGTCTCCATTTAAAGACACAAAAGGGTTAAAGACATGTGGAGACACACATCAGCCTGGGAAACTGATTCTGGTCTTTTTACAGCTTTAGCCACTCATTATACCTTCCCTAATTTATTACTGTTTACAAAACCAACATAAAAGAAGGAAATGTTGATTATTCAAACGTTCCTATTCTCTTTGTACCCTCTGCTGTAGGCTGGAAGGTGCCACTTCCAAGTGCCTCTCTAGTAGGACAAATCTGTGTCATTTACAACACACTAAAAGATCACCATGTGAGCATTAGCACATGGCAACGCAATACTGGATGTAAGAGTTAGCTCTGACCCTAGATGGCCCCGGAACATCAAGACAGCTCTTGCTGTGTGACCATCCTGCCCTTCCAGACAAGAAGGGTTGCACCTGGACCTCCTGATCTAAGCATTTTGTAAAAACCCTTCTATCCAGAAGATGTTGCTTAAATTCCTTCAAGCTTTTAAGTTCTGATGAACATCTCCCAGTTTTTAGTTATTTATTCTCAAGAACATCAGCTCCACTTCTTAAAACACTGCATTTCATGCTTGACAAGAGTGCTGCTCTTTTAGGTCACAAAATTTACTCAAGATTTGTTTAAGATGAAAGAATGGTAATAAAACTGGGCAATTTTGTTGCAAGCTTGTTTGTATAGAAAATCAGGCAAGTTTTTACTCTTAATTAGCTTCTTTTTAGCCACCATTTGCCACGAGAACCGCTCATTCACATGAGATTTCTCCAAGTTTAAATTTTCAAAGCTTGTTCAGACCATTGCTTTGGCTTCATGTCTATTTCCATCATGTTTTTTCCTGCAGCTCTTCTCATAACATCTAATAATATTTGCTGGGAAATGCCCCTTCCGTCATAAATATCCTTGGTTTGGAGGTGTTATGTACCTGGGTTCTTAATGGAGATTTCTTTGCTCTAGTAATATTCAGCACAAAAGAACTATTTCTCTTTAACTTCATCATCATGGCAAGCAGGCTCAAAACCTACAAAGCTGAATGGTGCCTTTAAGAAAACACGCTCATATCAGCCCTGAGGCACTCAGCACAAATACCAAAAGCTGTTCAATTAGGATACGTATAATAAAGGGGAGCTGCATAAAAATCAGCCTCTTCTGTTTTAACATAAAGTAGTTATGGCTGAAGACAGAGTTTCAGTTTAATGGCCTTGTTTTGGAAAATCCTGCACTGGCTCCCATTCTATTTAGGGTCTTACGAATTAAAGACTAAAGCGCTTAGGCTTTAATTGGGAGCAGAAGTGTACAGAGAATCTCAGGTCTTCATTTCCACCTGCTCCTGTTCTAACGGGGGGCGGGGGCGTGGCGTATCCTGTGACCGAATTGTTCCGCAAAGCTCCCCAACACCTCTACGCGGTTACCCTCAGGCCCAGGCACCACAAAAGGAGGGATACAGCGACGGAGCCCGTTGCCCCCGAGCGCACATCCACCCAGAGAGAGAAACCCGAACCCGGGCGGGGAACGCGCCGCCCCCGGCTCCCGCACCTCACGGCGGGCGGCTTCAGCCGGCGGAGCCCGGGCACGCGGCGCTGCCCCGGCGCCCCAACCGGCAGCAGCCCCTCACCGGGGCCGGGGCGGGGAGTGGGGGGGGGACCCGGCCGGCAGGTGCAGCCGCCATTCGCCCTCACCTCAGCCCGGCCCCGCCTTGCCCCCTCGCCCCGGACCTGAGGGAGGGACGAGGTGCCGCCGCCCGCTGAGGCCCGGTGCGCCCGGCGACGTTGCCATGGCAGCAGCGGGGGCGGGCCGTCCGTCCGTCCGTCCGTCCGTCCGTCCCCGCTCACCTCTCCGCGGCGACGCCGCCCGCCGACGGCGGCCCCCGAGGGCCGAGCCCCGCCCCTCCCCGCCGCCGGCACGAGCGCGCGCGCGAGGCGGCACCGCCCCGTCGCCATGGAGACGCGGCCCTCTCCCTCCCGCCCCGCGTTTCCCCCCCCTTTTGTTGTCCCCCATTTTCAGCTCTGAGGGCCCCTGAGGAGGGGGAGGCGCTTTCTCGTCCCTTCGCGTTACACAATGCCATCTACACGCGCGGAAATCAACGCGAAGCTGAAGAGGGCGAGGGGGGGGGGGGGGAGGCCACAGACGAACGCCCAGGCGAGGGGCAGCGGCGCGGCCGGCGGCTTTCCCTGCCCGGCTAAAAAGCATTTGATGCTGTTAAATTATGCAGTTGTTTGGGAGCAGCCTGAGCGTCGGCAGTTTTGGTGGTGTATTATTCATGCTCCGGCTGGTGACGAGCAATCTGATCAGACTGACAGCTAGCAGTGTCAAAATTTGAGCTTTTGTTAATAAGGATCGAGCCGCGCCTCCAAAGAGGCACCTCACTGCATTAATCACACATCACTCCTAGGACTTTGGCAGAAACCCACACTAAATTCATTCCTTTCTGGAAAAAATAAGCCCCCAAAACCCAGCACCCTGAGTTACCTCCTGGGAAGGGGGAGCTGGTGGAGGGGTCAGGCTTCCTCAGCAGAGATCTGGGAGGGGAGGTGGCAAGCCACGGCCGCCTCTGCGGAGGACCAAACAGCCCCACGGGTCACGGATGCTGTGATTAGCAGCCCCACGGGTCGTGGAAGCTGTGATTAGCAGCCCCACAGCAAGCCCCGTGACCACCATGGAGCGCAGAGGGCTCGCCGCAGGGCAGGGAGGCCCTTCTGCGAAACGCCGGCTGCGGTGGCACCAGACAGGGGCTGCCATCGCCGCAGCCCGGCAGGGCTTTGCAGAGGGGGAGAGCTGTGCTGACCAGCCTCGGAAGAGCAACCGGGGGATTTGGAACAGCTGGCTAAACACCTTGGTAACTTCTGAAAGGCTCCCGGTAAATGTGGTGGTTGGTGTTGCCACCAGTTACCACAGAGAGCCGCTGGCTCAACCCCACTAGGTGTAGTTCAACGGGAAGCAAATGCGCTCGCTTGCTAGAAAAAAAACACGCATCTCAGAGTGCAACATGCCCCCTGCACTAAAGGGTTAATGCTAATGAAAGAAAATATGGACTAGAAAATAGCGATGAACAAATTTAGCCAGGGTGTTAATAACTCTCAGAGTAATGCGGGTAGAGTTACCCTTTCACGCAAAGTCACGCGGGGTAGAAAAGCTAAACCCCTTCAAGGTGGGGTTCAGGAGGTCTCTGAAGACATCTGTAATCATAGGCCACATGCCACTGGAGGAGGTTGGACTACATGACCTTGGGGTTTCTGCTAATCCTACGCCATACAGCCAGAAAGAGAAATGGGTTTTGACATTGCTTTCAGTGAGTTGGAAGGGCTCCCTGATATTTACCCAAGATAACACCCAGGCACCTGCTTGGCAACGGTTCCTGCTGTACCTGGAAAAACTTCAACCACTGACCTCACCCAGGGTCGTGCAGTTATCCCGCTCTTGAAGACAATATGCCAAATTTCTGATTTTCCACATTTCACAGACAGGTGGCTTTGACGAGTTCATAGCAGATTAAAATAAAGAGAACTGGGCACAATATCAAAGTTTTTTTGCTCTGCTTTTAACATAAGACTATCCTTCATCTTACAAGCCAGTGCTACCCCCTTCATTCACAAGAGATGCTTTATCTGACTAATTACAAATCACCATGATTATAAGACAAGGATTAGACCCCATTGTTGGAAGATCAAGATGTGATGCTTGCTAATGATAATTTCATGATATCTTAAGGTCAATCTAAATTAATGTGTGCATTCATTAACCCGCACGTCATTAAATTTATGTTTTCAGATGTTCCTGTCTGTGAGGGAGCTACAGAACATGGTTATGAAAAAACACAATGGAAACCACAGCTGAGCAACACAGGGCTCCAAGGACATGTTGGTTGCTCTTTTCCATGTCACTAATGCATCAGACACTGTGTCTAGGGAAAACCAACTCACGCAGAAACGAGTATGTTTAACAGAGAAAGGCTGTGTAACACCTCCAGAGCAATGTTAAACAAGCACCTTGACACCTTTTGTATGTTGTGTAGGAAACAGCTGACGCTGTCAAAGAGTAAGGGGGAAGAGGGGCCAGAGGTGCCAGTCTCCTGCCCCTTCCACACCCAAAGCCCCTCTTTCCTTCCCAGCACTTGGCAATGATCACACCAATAGAGAAGAAAACGTAACCACTTCCACACAGAGCCCTTCCCTTTCCCCGAGAGCACTGCCAGAGCAGCCGGCTGTTTCACACCTGCGCGCACACACACAGCCACAGCACGGTTGAGTGTAACCCTGCCATGCCTTGGTGGGCTGTCACAGCCAGTGCTAGCCCAGGGGGACAGCAGTGGCGGCTGCTCCTGAAACAGCAGCCTCTGGCAGATCTTACTATTCCTCCCTTTTTGGACAGCACAAGCCCAGCACCTGGCCTCTCCCCCTAAACAGCAATCCTAAAGCCCAGGAACTATATCACATTTTACCAGCATCAAAACAAGCCCGGGGCAGGACACGCAGATTCAGTGGTAACACTCACCTCCAGCAGCCCCCAGCATCGACTGGAACAAAGAAACAGCCACAGCATCCCAGGCAGACGCCCCAGCCGTGTGTAATATTTATCTCATCTCCATCAAACCGCACTGTGTGCCGTATTGGTAACACCGGAATTCAGCTCCTTGGCAGCAGCTGGGTGTCCCTTTTCAGATCTCTTAGCTGTACGTGGTGTGGCAGGATGCGATGGGAGGAGCGAGGAGGATTGTCACAGTTCACGTGGACCTGCTTCTCTTGCAGGCGAGAGCGGCCTGAGGGTTCTTGTTGCAGCACTTCTCACCAGCACCAGGGACGTGAAACACTTCAATCCACTTTAAGGGATAATGCTATACCTGTACGAGCTACCTTCCTTTCATATGCAAGCAGAGATTTTAATCCCTCACATTGTCAAGAAGCTCATCCCGGCACAGCTGACTCCTGCATTCACCCGGGGAAGGCAGATGAACGAAATTAAAAGCAAGCCTGACATGCTGACAGTCTTATCCCTCCTGCTTCAGCAATAAGGCTCTCAAGGAAACACGTGTAAGAAAGCCTCCCCCCTCCCTTCATCCCCAGACTACTCCTTTTCTCTTATTTTTGGTGTTGTGCAGAGGGCCTGTGGGGCTACTACCCACACTGGCAGCACATGCTAAGACACCACTTTGCCCTCCAGCCCAGCCTGTACTACCAGGTCCAAGCCCTCTCTTCTAGGAGCATCAGACAGGGAGAGCTTTCCAAGGCAGTCCAGGGTGGGTGGGGAGTTCACGGCCTTTCTTCCTTAAGGCCTCAATTTTGTAATTAGGTCAATGTAAATAGGAAGGTCCTCCTGCATAGCGAACCTACACCTGCTTTCCCTTACAGTCACCCTCAGTGGGGCTGACCCATCCCGACCAGGGTCACCCTGCACCAGTGAGTGAGCTTCTCCCTCACCGGCCCAGTCTGCCCTGCAACTACAGAGTGGTATTTCTGAACTGCTCAGCAATTAAGGATCCTCGGTGCAAGACACTTGCACGGAGTTCTGCAAACCTACACAGACCAGCCAGCAACTATCAGCTTCTTGAAGACTTGCTTCTTTTTGCACGTTTTGCCCTGTATTTTTTTCCTCTTTGCAACAGAGATGCTCCGAACAACCTGCAGCAGCAGTGCTGTGGATTAGCAAGGTATCGGAATTGAAGACAAACACTGGCCACGCAGGATACCTCGGAGTATTTTTATTTAACAAAAATAGCTATTCAATTAGAAAGCAGCAATGTCAACATGTTTACAGAATTTCATAGGCATTAGGCTCTGTAGCCACCTCATCACCACAGCAGCAGCACAGCATAGGAACCTGAACAACGTCCAGGTGTGGCTTCCATGCACTAATAGGCCTGAAGACGTACACAGTGTGGCACGCCTCTCTACTGCAGTTGCCACAGTTTCATTACTTTGGTAGAAAAATCAGTATTATTGCTGTAATTAGTTAATTTTTGACTTGCTTTTAAATAACTGGGGTTTTCCCCCTCAAAGATTTGTTCTCTATATGAAAAATGTGATTAAAATTGAGCTGCTTCTTTCAGCCACTTGCCATGGGTGCTGTACACCCACTCCTCGTGCCTTGCTGCAGCCGTCATCAGACCAAGAAACTCAAAGGACAGGATATGCAGGATATGCACTTACAATCCCTTTCCCAGGACAGTTCATCAGCTAGCATCCATTAGCTTCAGATTTTATTTTTTTAAAATCAAAAAATAGTGAACAAAGGAATATATACATGGGTGGCTTCAAGTTTCCGTTTCAGGATAAGGCAGTTAAGTTTACATGTGTAAATGCCAGTACAGCTGAGCCCCTCTTTAGGGGATTGCTTTAGGAGACGGGCTGCAAACACAGAGCAGCTTTGGGGAGTGGGCTCCCCTGAGCAGCCAGCCTGGAGGGGCTCCCCAGACCCCAGGCAGCACATCCCAAACACATTAATCATTCACCTTGTGCAGTAAAGGCTGAGGCTCACAGAAGCGATGAGAAAGGCCGTACCTGTCCCAGCCAGGGGAGAAACACCTTCCCAAACCCAACGCTGTGAAGTCTCCATGGTACTAAGAGCAAGCAATGAACCAGAGCTGCTGCTTCAGGCTCTGACTGGAAGAAGCTCTAACCAGCACACAGAGAGAAGGCATGGAAGGAAGCACGCTGCATTGCGCCTTCTCCCTTGCCAGCTCTCCTGTACATTTAAACTCACCACAACCTGCACAGCAACAGGGACAGTCCAAAGGCCATTTCCACAGTGTATGGTACTATGGACATTTGATGCTGTGCTGATTGTGGTGCCTGAGCATTCAGGTGCCTGAATCCAGGACAACTCTGTGCAACTCCTTCCCTGTGCTGAATAAATTTGGAAAAAATAAATTATTAAAAAAAAAAAACCAGGTATGAGGCAATTCCCAAATAGCTTAGACCGGACAAAATAAAAACTGCTTACTCCAAACATTCATTGTCCTGCTTAGGTGGAAAGAAGAGGTAGAACTAGTGGACAAGGACCCACCAGAAAGGCATTTTAAAATAAGGGGAAAAAGCTGACAAACCAGAAATCAGCATCTTTCAAAACCTCAGATAGTCATCCTGCTAATTACCATATCTATTTAGTCATCAGAGTCACGGTTCTCCAAGGTCACAAAGAATAGCTTAAAATCCTGCAAGACACCTTCCTTCTCAGCACTACACTAACATCCACCATCCCACCGAAACAGCCCAGCCCCCAGGATTGTGAGGCAGTGACTCCTGTAACCCCAGGAAGCTGCAGTCCTAGAGGACAAAGGCAAAGATGTCCAAGGGTCCCTTGAATTAGCGTTTTGACTACTTAAACCCCCTCTAAGCTTCCCTTCCAGCCTTACAGTGCCTTGGGCACAGGCCTTCATGGCATAATTAGTGCTGCTGGTAGCAATTCACCAGCGTCACAAGTTGCCCCAGGACACAGGCTTTTGGGGAAGCACTAGGTTGAACTATGGTAAAACTCTGGCAGCAGGGGTGACAGACAGGGAGAGCAGAAACAGTACGTGTAACTCAAGGAAACATGTGCAGAAACGTTGAGTGTACTCGTCCTCAACACAGAGCACCCAGCATCACGGGGCGACCGCAGCGAGGCACACTGCGGAGCACAGCCCTAAGGCCACCTCCTGTCCCAGGCCTGGGGCTCTCAGCAGAGAGGTCTGTGAGGAGTGCACCCTCCCTTCTGCCCCGCGGCAGCACCTCAGTGACAGAAAGTGTAGCAGCTGACTAGACAGTCATGAAGGTGCCTTCTCCGTGGCAGCCTCCAGGTGCATAGTCTTAGACTAAAACCTCCCAAGGCTTTTACTCTTTGAGAAAACTTACTGTTCTTTGTTGCACATCCCATAGATGCAACGTAAGAACAACAGGTATTTTAGAAATAAGATATTTGTTCTTACTTGTGTAAGAGCTAATACATTTACCTCCTAAAATGTGCTACTAACATAGTATAAATATGGATCAAATACCATGCCTTAGGAAAAAAAGGCAGAGATTAAAAACCAGACCTATATCTTCATATGTAGCCACCAAGTTTTCACTTGATGCACTACTGGCTTTCAGGAGATCTGCTTTGCATCTGCTCTTGTCTTCTGTAAGCTCTCATAATACTGTATATGCCACTGCCCAAGAACACCAGTGAGATGGCCGCAAAGTAAGAGGCATAAATCATGAACTGCAGAGAAGGGGAGAGAAAAAAGAAGTGGTTAAACCAAGCAGTTACCAAATTTGTAAGAAGGTTAACACGTGAGCTCCCTTCCTCTTCTAAAATATCAGGAATCAGTGGTTATTTCTCTGTCAAACCCTTGACCCAGGAGCAGGTAGCTGAGAAGCTTTATAGCTTGGTTTTTACCTTCCTCCCTCCCATCAATAAAGCCAAGAGAGCCCATCGTACCTGGGTGAAGATGTCCAACCCAAGCCCACTGGCATCCACAACAATCAAAGTGAGCAGAGTCTGAAGTGCCAAGGCAATGAAAGTATTGACCCCAAACACCAGGGCATACCGCTCCACGCTGAGGTTTGTAGCGATCTGAAACCTACAAAAAAAGCAGGAAAATGCAGGAATAGGAGGAACATCTCTGGACAAGACGACTGTGCAACCTGAAGAGTTACATAGACTGGTTTGGCATTTTCCACAGCTAAATTACCTTGCACCAATAGCGTCCTTTTCTAAATAGGATCATGACAGACTAGCATACAAGCTAGAAGAGACTCCACAGACACATGTAAAAAGCTTAAAAACCAAAACAAAAGAAAAAAAAAAAAATCCACTTTGGGAGCTCTGTGGATTTCAGTTTTACTGAAGCAGCCCTTCTGTCCAGTGCAGCTAAAGGGACTTGTCACACAGAGAAGATCCAACACAGTGATCCCAGAGAGCTGTTAGCAACCTCAAAGCATCAGCCTACTGCAGTCTTCTCCATAACTTCCCACATCCTTTTAACCAGAACTCCTGGTTAGAAGTTACCAGTTTCAGCATCACCCCTCATATTATGCTTGAGCTGTCTTGTAGCAATTATGCACGTGTGGTTCAAGAACAGCTGTGTGTTTCCCCCAAAATGACAAATAACACCGATGAAGTTTTCCTCCTGAAAGGTTAGGAAAAGTTGACAGTTCAACACAGGCAAAGCACTGTCCTCTCTTCATCTGTTAACACTTCACTCCAGACATGTTTATGAAAAACATTCCCCTGGCAAGCAGCACTATCTAACATTTAGAAGTAGTCACTTCAGTGTCATAAGACTTTTAAGCTTGGGCAGACTGCCAGCAAAATATATCTCCGTGCCTCTGTTTCCAACCTGAATCACAGCACAAACCCTTGCAACAGACTTCCCAATTCCTGTTAGATGAGACTCTAGTTACACAGAAAATGTGTCACCTTTCACACCAGCTGTAACCTTGAGAGCAATATACCTTAAAAAGATACTCACGTTGCTATCGTGATTAGCAGCATGTAGATAATTCTGAAGACAACATAGGATGCATAGCACACCCAGATGTTACGAACAGTATCCATGATATATACAGCAGCAGCAATAAGAAAGGAGAACAGGGCAAGTGCCACTTCACCCCACATTGCCCAGGATGTTTTGATGTGACCCACAACAAACACTGCAACAGCTCCTGTGAGGGGAAGGAAAGCACAACTGTTAGTAATTGCAACTGGAGCAATTTGGAGATGGGGTATTAGGAGATGTACAGCCCCTAATAGCCAAACACGATTGAAGTAGAGGACACTAACATGCACACCTTACTGCCTCTCCTTCCTGGCCTCTCCCTCACCTGAAACCCTGGTGTAAACTCCCATTTTTTTTTACAGGAACAGGAAAAAAAAAAAGTAGGTCAATGCTGACTGTTTCTGAAGTCTCCTCTCTGGCTTCAGAAGCACGACAGCCTCAGGACCCAGACCACTGACACTCAGTCCTCTGTGCCTCACCATAGCGGTGTTGTCACCTGGGCTTCAGAGAAATGCAAATCCTGGCTCTTGAAAGCACTCCGCTAATTATTTTGTGGCGCTTTAGAGGGGGGAGGAGGAACGAAGACACTGCCCACTTTAATACACAGCTGTTAAAGCTCTCTCCCAGGAGGCAGGAAAACCTACATTTACTGTCATCTTCATGCTGGGCTGTAAGAGTAAGAGCAAGCAGGGGTCCAAATCCACGTCTCCCAAGGTGCAGCCTAATCACAAGCTACAATCACGCACTGTTGACTGTGCAAGAACAATCCTTTATGACCAGAACAGGTTTGTAATTCCTGCTGGATTTTATGGAGGGGGGATGGGAAGAGGAGGCAGGTCACAAGATGGAAAGAGCATGATATTTCATGCACCTCAACAAGCAGATAAGGTGTGTTTCCATGCACTATGACAGCTGTAACTACAGACAAGCCCAAATACGTATTACATGGAAAGAAAATGCCCATTTGAAGTAGGCCTTGTTCTGCAAACAAGCCAAATAACAACCAACAGAATAACAATGCTGCTGTACACAGCAAACTAGACAAACAGCGTACTGACAAAATGAGGTTTACTGGAGATCTCTGAAAAACAGGACTGTATTCAGCATTTGACCACTGTACAGAGGTGCTACAGTGCAGCATCTAAGCTCTTTGTAGCCCTTAGCTGGCCTGCTATCTTAGAAATCCTTCAAGCACATGAAGACTCCTTATGTACCACCAGTGTGTACCCTGTCAGACCTCACATCAATCTTGCAGACTAGTGAAGAACGTAGCTATGCCAAGGGAAAGGAATTTATTTCCCCCCTCCAAATTCTTCTTTCCAGTGCCTGCTGTCACCTGACTGACGTTTTGCTCTTTGAACATCTGTCTCCCCCAGTAACAAAACCCTGAGATGTAAAGAAAAGCTAAGTCCTAGAGCCTTCTTGCTACTGTCTCAGCAATTCTGAAATTTGGGAACAGACATGACTCTCTGAGGGATCTCATGGCAACTCATGAAGTTGTACTCCCCCTACGTCTCAAGGTTATATCAGCCTGACACGTCATCATGGCAATATATACAATCTGTCTCCTACAATGAGACAGCTACAGCTGATCCAGTGGTTTCACAGCCCAACCTGATGAAGGATTGCCACATTCCCAAGAAGGTGCAGGGATGGAACTTAACAGTCAGCTGACCTCACTAGAGGGAATACCATTTATCTTGCCCAGGACAGGAAGCTGACAGCCACATGAGTCACCATCTCAACTCAAACCTTTCTGCAGGTACAGGCAGGATGGCAACAGCACCTTACACAAAGGTTGCCAACCATTGCTCGTAACTGAGCACAGAATGACTAAGAGCCATGAAAATGGCAAATTGGATCTGGGAGGCCTCAGGAAAGGTATTTCTAGTAAAGGGAGAAGAGCAAACAATATGTTCTTCTAGAAGTCTGAGGCCTCGCTGAACAAAGATGAGTGCAGCCCTGGTCATCCACCTTCACCAAGAATGCAATTCAAATCATGTTTGGTGCAAAGAGGGCCTAGTCAGATGACAAAGTGAACAAAGACCTTAACTTTACCAAAGAACAATTAGAAAAACTTGGTTTCTTTGTCCCAGAGCAACAATTTTGTGCTAAAATACAACCTTGGCTTGACAACAGAGATAAATAAACTGCTCATTAATAAATTCAGACTGGAAATCAGAAGGAGTTAGAGCACTTGCAGTAATGGCTAGGAATTGGGTCACTGGATGCTCATCCTTAACAGGTGCCTTTTAGTCTTGTCATACACTTCAAGTTTTCAGTTGAGATTATTACTCGTTCCAAGAAATGAATCTGTGTCAACTGGAAGGATTTTTGGTTCTGCCTTTTGAGCAGTTCAGGGACAGAGGCAAATTTGCTTTCAGAAAACATCGTCCAGAATGATGCAACTGGTTATAAATATGATACTAGAGGGAAAAAAAAAAGAAATCAAAATGGGTAACTAAAAACTTCAGTTTTACATGAGTTTAGTGCCAACCACCTTTTCTTCCAATAGGTCCATTGTTCACAGGCCTTTTAAAAAAAAAAAAAAAAAAGGACCTTGAAATCAAAGATGTTCATAATAAGGTTTGAAGAATACTCCTCTTCTTTATTTTTTTTAAATCTGCTGACATTTGGCCACACTATGGGTCTTCTGTTCCTTGATACCGATTCTTCCCCCTCCTGGGACCAAGGCAGGATGGTAAAGGAAGCCAAATCAAACAAAAGATAAGAGCCACAGCATTCTGCTAGAGTGGAGGAACAGGGTACGACTGCATGCTGTGGAGGTGCAGGTTTAGCACACCAAAGATGATTTCATAGCCAAAGCCTTCAGAATCAAGTTGCCAACAGCTTCAAACCCAACTGACAATGGGCAGTAGACCAGCTTTTAGATCTATAAGCCAGCCACAGCTTCCTACTGAACGCCAAGAGGGGGCTGAGCATGTCCAAGAAAGTACTAAGCTTTCCTTGGTTTCTTTTTGCCCCCAGGTAGGTGATGCCCACAGCAGATGGCGGAACGATAACTCCATCAAAGAAAAGGAACATACTGCAGTCCCCTCAAACCACGACATGCAGCAACACCTAGAGAGCCTCTGTAAGAGTATGTTAGTTATATTAAAAGGTATTATCCTACTTCTAGTAATGGAACAGTATTAAACAACTTAATAAATAAATGTTTGTGTTGACTGACCTACCTATCCCTTTCAAGTCAAGCACCTTCTTTCATCTTAATAGCTTTTCTGCTTAACAGTGCTGAAATGACTAAACATGGCTCACTGCACGCTGCGCGTGTACAGGAAACCTTCATATGTTCCCTGTGCTGCCAGAGGGAAAAACAAAGCAATAAACCCACAGGACCCTTAGTCTGACTCGGAGTGATTAAAACAAGCATAACCCCACTGCCATAGTGACAACAAAGAACACATAGTCAGCAGCAGGCCTGGAGCCTTCTGGCAAATATCTCAGAATGAAGACTGACTTGGGAGGCTCCATTAGACACCTACGTACCGGATTACAAGAACGAGGGCTGTGTGCAGCAACTAACTCAACACTGAGCATCATCCCTGTGCACGTCAGGGAAGACTCACCCCGAATGGCGGCGTTGCCTTTCCTGCATGCTTGGGTGAACGCAAGACACTTCCAAACACTTCCAAAGTCATCACTCTGGTGACCTTGAGGGGCACAAGGCATTTCTCACAGCAGAGCAGGAGCTACACCAGAAGCTTACCTAGCAGTGTCGAGGCTGCCTCCACAGCACCATTGTAGATCTCCACGCTATGAGAAGGCAGCACCATCTCCCAAAGGCCCTGAACATAGTTGATGACCTGGAAGTAGCCACAGGTAGACAGTGCCCACCACACAGACCAGCAGAGCAATGTCCGAGAGGAGTAGCACTGCAGGAAGTCCCGCCAGAGATCTTTGAGCACTTTCACGATGTCTACTTTCCGCTCCTGCATAGACTGGAGAAGGAAGGGAAGAGAAATGTTAGTCTTTGGTTATAAATACTTCACACTCTTCCACAGAATTGCCCCCTTTCAAGTGGTTTGATCCCTGGCAAGTGACAGTACCACTCTTGAACACAAACCTCCACGGAGTAATGAATAAAAAGCTTCCCCATCCCATGGCCACAGCGGCTGGTCTCTGCTCTAACAAGGGCCGTTCCTTTATGTGCAGAGGAAGGGCTCAGTCCCAAGCACCCCTCAATCTCTGGCTCTCTCAAGAAGAGAGCAGCAACTGCTAGGTGTTGGAACTACTACATGAGGAACTGAAGGGTACCAAAGCAGAGACACAGGAGAACAGGACATGATATCCAACTTAACAAGGCAGGATCAGAAGCCAGTCATTCAAATCATAAAGGCAAAAAGCATCACTGACACTTTTAAATTAAACCAAATTTGGTAGGGCAGAGAACATGAAAGCCACCAGATGAGTGTATTTCCCCAAAAATAAGTTGATTTTCTTTAGTACTATTATTCAGGGATTATAAATATTCAAAGAAGCAATGTCATTATGCCGGGCTCTACCCCTGTTAATGTTTGCCAAAGCTCTTGAGAAGGTGAGAGATGTTGCCTGGGGATCTGAAGAGAAACAGAAGCTACTTCCACTGGACACTGCTATTGCAAATGGTGGCTTCTGCATATACAAGTTCTCTGACAAATGGCATGAGATAAAAATGAAGCTTTCCCCTCCAAATCTTTCTAGAAAAAGCATGAAAGGGCCAGATCCATTAAGCGGTTTGAAACAAAAATTTCAAAATAGAACCATTCTAGCAACAGGGGATGACAACAAACAAAAATAGCTTTTTACATACAAGCGGTTACAGTCCTGTTCCTAACCACTTTATGCCAACAGCAGTGGCGGAAACAAGCACATCTTTACTTTGTAGACAGAGCTGCTGATTACGTTTGCTGCAAGCACACGCCTACAGAGCCTTTGTAGACAGGCAAGACCCTTCTTGTTTCAGTCAGAGCAGTGGTTACTTCATAAGAGACTGGGCAGAGGCCTCAAGGCCCACCCAGCACCTCTAGCCCCTGTTAACTTGGATTCCCTGCAAGGAAACACAGAGCACTGTCACAGTAGTGAGCTATTGCACGCTGTGCTGTTGCATGTCCAGTTTCGGAGCGATTTCCAAACAGCAGTGGCATCTTTGGGCTCTTGGCAGCACGCCCTTTCCCTGGGGGAACTGTGCACTGTGTGTCTGGGAAAAACTGTTCTTGACGAGCAATAAAAGCCACTTCATGGTGTTTCTACTAAAGCCCCCAAAGACAATAGCCTAACTCTGTCCTGAACTCCCTTTTCTCCTCCCCTCAAAGCGTCACCGATTTCTAAGCATCTTTATTATACATCACATTGTCCTGTTGGTGCTTTGCCAATGGCAAAACGGTAGCTCCACATGTGGATGCTGTTCCTCCAAAGCTCATCAGAACAACCTGGGAAGAGGTCAGCTTGTGCCAGTGTGACTCTAGCAACGTAACTCCCACGCAGAAGGTTTCGCACGAAGCTCAAGTTTAGGCACGGGAAAACCAGGGAAGGGAACTGTCAGACGTTGCAAAAACTGCTTTGGCACATCCAACCCAAGCATGTGCCTGACAAGCCAGAAGGGCCCATCCGCCCTCCCACCACCTGGCAGTGCTGCTTCAGTACAACTATTCGTACAGCCGTTCATTTCTGTTCGTGGAACACGGCTGCCGTTACCTCAGTAAGAAGGACTATCATCACATGCCAATGCTTCTGAGCTTTTGGTACCTGGCTGAATTGAACTCTGGAGAGTTATGCAAGTGTGCTTGCTCCTTTTTTTTATAAATTTTCCACCATCAGCTTGGAACCACCCTTGCTCTCACAGGATAGAGGTGAGATAAACAAAAAGGGACAGGTAAATTATATTAATACATTAGCTATTATTGGCACAGAATTTGTCTTGTTCAACAAATACCCTTCAGCATACAAATATAACATGGTTAAAAATACTTTTACTCACACAAGATCGTGCTGGATGGGGCAGGATTAGGTCTCTGGAATGTTAAAACCTTTAATTCCCAGCTGGAAGAAGCTGAAAGTGCCCCAGGATTCTGCCTCCCCTGGCCCAGCTAACCAGGGCTAACTTGCTAATTGAAATACCCCTTAGCTGACTAACCCAACAGCCGCGCTTACCTTCTGGCTTGTCGTCAGAACCAGCACAAGCTCCTCCTGACCGCGGGACAAGGCTGGCCTCTCCCGAGGGCCTCGAATTCCCCCCCCTCCCCGTGCCACGGGCTCTCCGTATGGGCATGCTACCCAGGGCGGCGTGGCAGAGCCCTGCCCGGCCAGCAACTGCACACACGCATCAGCCCTCAAAACCGGAGGCCACTCGCCCGTCACCTCGTGGGACCCAACACGTCCCAGCACCAAACAAGGGCGCCCGCACGCTGGTTTCCATGCAAGTGGCTTTGTTAGAGGCTATGTAGCCCCCAAAAGCCACACGGCAGGGCGCTACCTCGGTGCGCTCGTGGGCCACGTGAAGCTGTTACTACACAGAGGTGTTTCCTGCAACTTATTCACATTCTGTCCATCTGTAACCAATGTCAGCCTGTAAGTGCTCTCAAGGACTACTGCAGTTTCCTTCCTGGATCGGTTTCCTTCCAGGGTCATAAGATAAAACCCAATTACTACACAACTTATTACCGCGCAAATTGCACAACAGTTGAAGTAACAAGTGCTTTCAAAACACGAGTGAAGGAAGAATCACCTCTTTTCTGCAAGTCACAGGGTTCATCTAGAAACACCCAAAGAATTTGGACATACACACAATTTTTAGTGCCTCAAAGACGTCCCTTGCTTTGTACCGCTGAACAGCAATTTGATGCCCTGAGAATTTTAATCACAGCTTTGTGAGGCATGCAGAACAATTTCTGAAAAACTAAGGAGCAGCCTAGCAGGCTCAATCAGCAAAAGGAAAGCAGGAATAAATTCTCCTGTGCCATAAATAAGGAAGTGGGGTAAGCAAAGGGATACTTTTTGCTGTTGGATACTACACGTCCACTGCTGTGCACATACACATGACAACCACATCAGTATTGCACCTTCTACTTATATAATAAACCCAGAGCATAGCTCACCTGTTTCTCTGCTGAACGACCCTCCCCATTTAAGGGAACTTTTGTCTCATCCTCCCAGCCGGGTGCCTTCTGCACATGGGGATGATCTTGGACAGCCGATCCATTTTTGCAATCCATGACCTTCATTTCCCAACCGAGCTGCTGAGTCGAGACGTGGTGAAAGAAAAGGCTTTTCTGCGGCATCGGCAGGAACCACGCCGTGCCAAAGGCAACGGATATGCTGGTTAAGGAGATAATGTTCAAGCTGAAGAGGGACCATCCTGCCACCGACACGAGGAGCTGCCCGGACACGGAGCCCACGGTGTAGCCCACCAGGGTGGCACTGCGGCAGTAGCTGGTGACCTTCTGGTACAGGTTGACGGCGACGACGCTGTAGATGTAGGAGTAATAGGCAACGTCGGTAGCGGTCCCCATCCCATAGAAGAACTCGAGGAACTGGACAGCCCGCAGCCCCTGGGCGTACAGCAGCATGAACCAGGTCACGATGAGGCTCAGGCCCTGCAGCAGGACCACGGGCTTGTACCGCAGGTAGTCCGTGGCCAGGAACACCGGGAAGAGCAGAGCCAGGTAGGAGTAAGTCCACACCGGGTAAATCTCGTTGAACACCTGGGGGCGGGAAAAAGACGGCGGTAACCCCCCCCACACCCCCACCCCAGCGTCCACGCACCGCGAGGGAAACGCGGACACCCGCGCGGGGTTGCGAGGCGGCCGGGGCCGCGGTACCTGGGTCTCGGAGAGGTTTTTGTGCGGCCCCAGCAGGTACCGGGTGAGGAAAGGCTCCGAGGGCCGCACGCTGCAGAAGAAGCCGTAAGCGCACAGCAGCCCCGTGGGCAGCGCCCAGCAGCTGCCGCCGCCGCCCGCCGGGGCGCAGCGCCGCGCCGGCCGCCCCCCCCGCGGCCCCGCCATGCCGGGCAGAGGGGCGGGGGCCGGGCGGGCCGGTGAGGGGTGGCGGCCGCGGGCCCGTCCCGGGTCACCCCCCCCCCCACACACACACACCCGCCGCCGCCGCCTCCCGACAGGCAGCTCTGGCCCCCGGCCCGCGGCGCCGCTCTTGAACACCATTCGCCGGCGTGCGGGAGGCGGGGCTGCGCGCTGCGCTCTGATTGGGCACGGCCGCCTCCTCCCCGGCAAGGCCGGCCAATGGGGAGCGGGACGGCGCTGGCGGGAGAGGAGCGCGTGTGCGCGGCGGGGGCGGGGGGGGGGGGAGGGAGCGGCCGGTTGACGGACACCCCCCCCCCCCCCCCCCCCGGGAATGGCGTGAGGGCGGCAGGCGGGCCGCTGCCTGCCTTAGCGGAATGGCGCCCCTCGCCGGGACGGGCAGCACCTTCAAAGCCCGCCGGGACGGCCCTCTGGCGTAGGGGCAGAAGGAAAGCACACGCAGCGTGGCACAGCTCCAGTCACTGCTGAGCTGTCGCCCCCCCCCCCCCCCCCCCCCCCCGTACGTCACTCTCCCCCCAAAATTCCTCATCTCCCCCTTGCCCCGAGGGGAAGGCACTAAGCCTTTCCTGAAACCCATCGCGACAAAGAGATCTTGTTCCTGCTGCCCTGTCCTTGTTCTTTCGTTCCTGGCCCAAACGCATTCGGCAGCTGACCTCTGCCGCTTTCCTCCCCTGAGCAAGATAAGAGCTGGAACCACTTCTGTGGTTTAATAAAAGCTGCACCTTGTTGTCCAGCCAGAAGAAATATTAGACAAGAGGGGAAAATTATTACATTCAAAGTAATTATCTAAAGCTTCGCCCAGGCCTACTATTCTTAAAGCTTTGCCAACCCCTCTCTAAACTACTTGCTGTTCTGCTACTCAATCTATCCCACACTGTCTTTCTATCTACCTGCTTTGCCTTTCCCCATGCTCCACTCCCTCGATCTCCACCACGTTGCTACCACTGCTCGGGCCTTTCTACTCTATACCTATTCTCTATTCCTACTCTATTCCTACTCTATACTCTCCAGATTGGCTGATGCCGTGGAAAGTTCTGCACCAGGGGTCAGGCCTCCCACGTACACACCTGCAGACCCTGCCTCCTACCTGGGGTCAACGCCTGAGGAAAATAAAAATGGCAAAATAAAAGCCCTCAGAAAGCACCTGGCTATACACAGTTGGATGGGCAAGAACAGCTTCCTCTCAGCCCCAGAACAGATTCCTTGAACTGCAGAATTTTATTACTACCTCCATAGCATAATAAACATAGCTACAAAAGGTTTTAGGGCCATAGGATTACTCAGCTCTCTGTAAAACACAGCTAAACATTTTGGTCTTCTGGAATCAGTGGTTTGTGGGTTTAGCAAAATTTCCTTTCAGCTGTACTCAGGCCATTGCTCCTCAGCATCTCCATGTTCTCTTTTGTTTGCAGGCTTATTAGAAAAAAAGGAAAAAAAGATGACAATTGCCATTTCACCACGCTTTAGCGTTTGAAACAAAACTCTAAATAGAAAGAATCAGCCCGTTAATACTGGCATCCGTCTTAGCCATTTACGAGGAGCTGCTGATCTCTTAAAATAGCACCATTAGGGTGAAATGAGCCGAAATGAGAACTGATAAACAAGTTGCCATGGGGAAGAGAACAGAAATACACAGTTCCCTCTCACTTGGCTCTTAGCAGCCCCTCTGTTCTGCTGGCAGGTGGCTCTGTAGCAGGTAATAAAAGGCTATGCCCTGCTACCGTGAGGGTAGTGCATCTTCTTACCCATCTGGGTCACTGCTTCACACGGAGCAGAGGTAGGAGGAACGAGTAAAACCTTGGAGATCCCATGCTGCTCCCTGCCCAGGGGCAGCAGTTCCCACAACTTCCAGGCCGCTTACAGGATCTGATGGGAGGCCTCGGTCCTTTCCGCAATGACCTCCATGCCTCTTCCAAAAAGTGCATAAGGAAAAGAACCTGCAAAGTTTTGATTTAATTACTCCAGGTTTTCTCAGGGTTTCTTTCGTTTGCAAAAGAGCTCACTTTACTTTGTTTTCACATATTTTCAGCCTTTGGAAACAAGATAAAATTTTATTCCCTGAATTTTTATGTCTATCTTTCCTTCCTTAGCCTTCCTCCCCATCTCCTCTCTGATCTCACCACTCTACTAGAAAAAGTAAGGTAAGGTTAAAGGCATTTGATAGTAAAGGAAAAACCTGAAAGCTTCCAATATTTTTTTCCAAGATGGAAGACATAAGCTGTGAAAAGTAGGGTTCCTCACACTATCTTTCCTTAATCCTACCTGCTCACTTCCTCTCTCAACAAGCACACACCTTTTTCAGTGGAAAAGAGGAGTAATAGGAGGTTTAAAAATAAATAAATAGGAATAGGGGAAAAATTCCTACCCTTCAACTGTAATTTTTTAAATTCCAAAACCAAAATGACCTTACAATTTACATTAGCATTAAAAAATGACCAGTTTCATCCCAAAGCTACGTGTTTGTTCATTTCTAGCTTCCCAGTCAGGTGAGGTGAATAGCATTTTGAGAATCAATACATTCCACACAGGATGAAACCATTTTCCAGAGAAAATCATACTCTTACCAGAAAGATTTGACCAATTTGAGTGATTTCTCATATTCTGAACACTTCCACATAAGTAATATTACATGGAAATAATTATAAAATCTTTCAGGACCACAAAAGTCTGCCAGAGAGGTAACACCTGCACATGTATGATCCGAACTGATTAAGTGATAGCTGTAGCATGAATACATGGTGTGATGGCTGCCCTTTACAGACACAACTCTGGCTTCAACATTTCCTGAACATTTCCCAGCAAATAACATTTTATACGATGACACAGCTCATGCAGTAGTATTGGACAAAACTCCTCTGTGCTGGGTTACTCAGCCCCTCAGAACTGCCTTCAGAGCGTACGAGTTTCCTCAAACAACATCTTGATCAGAAGCCTCAACCTTCGTACAACTCAGGACTGTCATACACTAGAAGGCTCTCTCGCTGGCCAGGGGACATGCTGGGTGTGTTTTCCTGCTCCTCTGTCGCACAAGGGAAGCTTGAAGCCTGTCTGTACGTGTCCAGAACTCTTCAGATTTTCAGATCAGTCTCAAAAATTGCTGCTGGCACTTTGGAAGAAAAGGATCATACTAAGCCCTTCAGCAGGGCACCATTGCAGCTTTCCTTAGTGCATCCCTTTTTGTCTGAATCTAGAGTGGAATCACCCCTAGAAGATGCTTGATTCACCATGCTGTCCAAGCAACTCATCTAAATGCACACGTCGGTCTCAGAGTCAACAATGATTTAAGGTCACATCTTATCCACACTATAAACTCTGACAAGTTTCACCAAAAAATGCACCAGAGGTGAGTGCTGTTAACCAATTCTGGCCTGCAGTTTATTATGGAGGAATTTATAAAATGTATGTGCAAGAAAAGTTCTCTTAAAGTCTTGCCAAGTTGTTTGGAGTAAAGCTTCTCTAAGTTAAAAACTTTCTGCACTCTCGTGAAGCCATCCTTCAGGGTGCTCAGAGAGCACTAAGATGGTACAAGTACCTTGGAAACTCTCCTGAAGGACGGAGTAAAACATATTTGTCTTTTGCTGAGCATGGAAGGAACAAAGACACATAAATGTGAGGAAAAGCAGCAACTGATTTCTTTGTTTTATGCTTTTGGCCATTGTAATTAATTTGTAGAAGTAGACTCTATTTACTATTATATATGTTGGAAGGAAACATGAGAAAAGTAACGAGAACAAAAAACCACACAGATTATTTCTGAAATGATGCAAGATTAGTTTAAAACAAAGCCTATAGAATGTAGCTGTAAGAAAAAAAGATTGGATACAACCTTAAAGGTCCGTGCCTTCTAGTTCCCCCCTGACTGATCCTTTGATAATGTGGGGGCTCTGAATGGGAGACTTACAAATATTTTTCAGCCATGAAAGATTAATTTAAAAGCTCTGGCATTGATTACTTTATTTAGATAGTATGCCTGCATTTCTGTTACTTCCTATTCTCCAAGGGTTTGCTAGTCCCAGACTTTTAAGATGTCACATGTTGAGTAGATACGAGCCCAAATTCAAGAGGATAGCCCTGTCCTACAAGCACAGAGCATGTTTCCCTGGCATCAGAACCAAGGGAATAAGGCAATTTCACCGGAGGAAGGAATACAGTGTTTTCCTGTACCAGGACCTCAAATAGTAAATTACTGTTTCTAAAAAAGCCTTAAGAAAGACAACAGAGTTAATTCAGCTTCTTGATCCCTTCTTCTTAATTCCTTTAAAATCCCTTCCCTTATTAAAAAAATAAAGATGTCTAAATTCTTCTAGGATATTCTTTGAAAGCCACAGCTTTTTTTGGAGCCATTCTAGCTTTTTAAGAGCAAGAAAACTCTCAGAGGTAAGTTGTAATTTTATATTTTAGAGAGGTGAAAGGAGAGTCAGCAGTCATTGTCGTAAATATATTGCTATAATCGGATCAATTGTCTATGCCCTGTAAGAAAAGGTCCCTTACTAAAAGAATGCAACAGCTCTCCTCTGTAGCATGGACAGAGCGTATTTACTGCTTCTGTTTTACTATACACAATCTGGAAGTCCAAAATATTTTGGTACTCTAGTTCAACACAAATTAATCCTTTTTATTTTTCTGAAACTTCACTTTTTTTACCTGTAGTTCAAGCCTTGATGTCCACACGTTCCACCGTGTATCTACTCCAGAGCTTCCTTCACCACCTCTAGTTCCATACATGCTAGATCTCGTGTTCAACAAGACTGGTAAACCAAGTATGTCCTGAAAGCTGTGCATGGGGGGAAAGAAGGCAGCACTGCGGTTTACTGGAACACAGCTGATAGAGAACCCGGTGTAAAAGCCAAGCTATCAAGACCGGCAGAAGCCTTAGGACAAACAGCAGCCAAGGTACAGGAGCTGTTAGGAGGCAGGTTGCTGTTGAAAGCCTCTAGCAGAGAACTTTGCTTCTGCCCCACGCACCATAGCACGCTCTGCGTTTGGCACAAGGCAGAGTGAAGCACACAGTCATTGGAAAGAAGGAGTTTATGGCTGAATTTGTGGAATCGCTTGCCACAGGGTGTCAGATTAACTCTAGATCTAAGATGGATCATGTTGTACAGCACTATGCATTTCAAAAATATTTTGCAGTCAGCTACATGGGGAAAAAAAATGGGAAAGTCAGTTAAGTCTGCTACAAATGGGGACACTGATGGACAAATTTTCATGGGAAATGCTAAAAGAGAGTATAATAGAAGTGTTACAAAGTAAAGCAAGAAGTGGCTGGAGTAGACTTAGGAGGAGAAACATACCCTGTGCTTTTACTAAATGTAGAAGCACATTGGTCGGTCTGAATTACTCGGTGCTTTTAGACATATCTTGGTCACAGTGAGCTTAACATAGTATTGCTCCCATTAGGAACGGTGTTACAGATGTGCCCAGGAACCCTGAGAATGATCCCATGGCCTGTTTTGGAGAGTGCTGTACAAACATTCAAGAAGATGGTGTCCCTTCCTGGAGGAGATTATTGTAATTAAAGCATGATGCAAGTACTGGGTGTAACAAACAAATGGAGAATGGGGCACGGTAATGATAGGAAAGTGTAGGTGGATAAATGGGTTATGATGTACAGCTAGCATGAATAAACATTTTAAAAAACAAATATAGGAGCAAGAGCAAGAAGAGGAATATTCAATACTAAGTGGAACAACTAACTCGTACAAAATGGCAATTGGTCACCCCACGACAATGTTGCATCTCATTTCTGTGGTGCTAAATAGTAACATATACATACATAAACAGTCTTCCCTAGCACATATGTGGACATGGGCACAGTCTTTACCTTTCTCCCTCTGGTACATGTCCAAAAAAATCTTTTCTCATTGTGAAAGATGCCTCATGACCATCAGTGCTTGTGAAGTTGCAAGCCCTCTTTTTGCCCTTTAGCACAGTCCTAAAATACTGATTGGCCCACCAGTGTTCACGGACATTTCAGGGGGCGCTGGAGGGTGCTCAAAAGGTTGGGTATTTGTCTGGAGTCCTGACCAGGTTCCCACTTGATTCTCCTGTGGAGTTCTCCTGGCACTTCACGTGGACGTACTTCTGCCACACGTGCTCACTGCTGTCTCCAACAGGTGAACTGCCCCAAAGCCCAGATTCACCTTTGCATCTGTGTTGATGCGCAGCTCAGGAGGTTCCTGAGGGAGTGAACACAGAAGCACGGTCTGCATTGACTTTAATCCATGGGTAATCCGCAGGTTTCTGTCTCCATTATGCTTTGCTATGCCAGTGGTGGAGGGAACCACCCAGTTTGCAAACTCCTGGAATCCTTGGTGAAGGTGAGCTGGCTCAGCTTCAGTCCAGCTACCCCTTCAGTACTGCTGCTACAGTCAGAACTACCAGCAGAAAAACTGGCAAAACCAGAGGTTACATCTACTGTGTAAGCAAGAAGTATGCTTACTGATTCACACAAGCCTGCCCGAATCAGCTCTAGACTTTACAGGGCAGTCTGTACAAACCTGTCTGAATACTGGCCTAATGCATCACAGTCTGAAGAAACTCCCAGCAGCACCACAGCAGTAACTACTTTAATGCTGCTCAACTGTCTTTACACATGCTTCCACCTCCCTTCCACTCCAAGTGCAGACACAACCAGTTTCACAACTTCTTCGTGAAGGAGCACCACCGCTGGAAGGCATAAGGAAAGTCTTAGTGGCACCCCCTGAGTAAAGCATGAGACTTCTTGCACAGCCACCCATGCGCTGTTGTCACCTGCAGGTGGACAGCTCTGGGCAACCCGAGGCCCCCTGGAAGCTGGGATGAGCACTGGAGGGCAGCAACTCCATTATAATGCTGTTTGAGGCTAAAAGCGGTTAACTTTGGACCTTTGGATCAAAGGGCAGCATGAAAGAATCCACCCAGATTTGTGAGTGAAGAAACTATTGGCCAGATGTGACTACTCTGAACTCTGGCACCACATTTCCCTCTCAGTCCAAAAGAGCTTGTGTTTGCTAACCATCATCTTTATTCTTTAGCTTAAGAAAACTGCAGGAATTCTTGCTCTCCTTGTGTATTTTGCAAATAATTTCAACATACACAGGCTTTCATTCCACAGCATATAAAAGGTTGTGAAAGACTGACCGTTATAATTACAAATTTCCAAAAGCCTTGGCAGATTCAGTCAAAGAGGTCTGCTTCATAAAATTGATAGAAGTCCTTTGTTTTCCGGTAATCTGCAGGCTCACTAAACATCACTTACCTTTGGTTTGGCAGATCCAGTACAGATATGCTTTCACACCTTCCTTGCTGTAAACACAAACCAGAAACCTGCCCTCTCCCCCGCTCTCTTTGCATTTGGAAATACTTTGTGTACCTGGTCGGGATAGAGTTAATTTTTTTACACAGCAGCCTGTACAGTGCCTTGCTTTGGATTTACGACTAAACCAGCATTGATAACACGCCGCTGTTTTAGCTGTTGCAGAACAGTGTTTGCACAGCACCAAGGCCTTCTCTTTTTCCCACCCTGCCCCACCAGTGAGTAGCCTGGGGGTGGACATAAGGCCGGGAGAGGGCACAGCTGGGACAACTGCCCCAAAGGATATCCCAGACCATATGACATCCTGCTCAGGGTGAAAAACCTGGAGGTGAGGACGAGGAGGAAGGGGGGGGATGTTCAGAGTTAGGGTATGGCTTCCCAAGTAACTGTTAGGTGCATGCTAAGAAGTGGCTGAACACCTGCCTGCTGATGGGAAGTGGGGAATTAATTCCTTATTTTGCTTTGCTTGCACATGCAGCTTTTCTTCACTTATTAAACTGCCTTTATATCAATCCACAAGTTTTTCTTGCTTTTGCCATTCCAGTTCTCTCCCCCCACCTGCTAAGGGGGAGAGAGCGACTGGGTGGGGGCTTAGCTGCCAGCTGGGGTCAACCGACCACAGTCCTTTTTGGTGTCCAGTGTGGGGCAAGAGGACTGTGAGATAACATCAGACGGTGCAAGGTGGGATTTATAGCTGTTAAACAGCAGGGTCCTGTGCTTGCTTGGCTTAAAGTATATTAGCCTGGTAAGTGGTTGGTTTGGACTTGCACTGTTTGTTGTAGCACTTACCATCCTGGTTGTGCCAGGGAACATTTTGTCAACAGCACTGGCCAGGTGCCTGGGCTGGCATACGGCCCGGGCACTGCTGCCGCCCCTGTGCTGCTATACTGGACATACTGGAACACCAGTGTTATGGGGTCAGTTTTCATGGTAGCAGCCCCTAGGATTTGTGACTAAACCAGGGTTGACAGTACGCGAGTGTTTCAGCTGTTACTGAACAGTGTCTGCACAGCATCAAGGGCTTTTCTTTTTCCCCTCTCTGCCTTGCCCCAGAGTAGGCTGGGGGTGGACGAGGGGTTGGGGAGAGGACACAATCAGGACAGATGTCCCCAGCTGACCAAAGTCCTATCCATTAGCAAGGAGCAGCAGAATCTCCAGCTTGTAAAATTGATGCAGATATATTGAGTCATGCTCCTGCAATCAATTTTGCATTTGTCTAACTTTATATAGAATCATACACACATACAAAGAACCAATTACTTATTTATAACCTTTAAGATCATGGCCTTCTTGAATATAAATAGTTTAGCACTTATTGCACAAACTCCTGGTTCTGCTGAAGATAGAAACCACTTATTATCTGTTTTCTGGTGTAAAGCCCAACTCCAAAGTTTATTTTTTTTTCTTTTTTTTTTACTGAATATGGCTCATATTGCAATTTCACAGCTGTATCAAACAAAAATAAATTAAGCACCATTACAAAATATTAAGAAACTGATCTTTTAAGATGAAGCAATTATTCACACAGCTTCACCATTTGAAATTAATTCTAATTAGCACTGAAAATTCCCATCAAGGTGAAAATTCCACTTTCATGACACAAAATTTCACTAATTGTTGTCATATAGGTACTACTGTCAAGGCAAATACACAAAATAAAATGTTGATGTTTTTCATGCTACAATATTATCTTTATTTTCCAGTGAAAAATGACAACAGTTTTTGGCATAGTAAAAAAAGAGAAAATATTTGTTTAGTTTTTATACTTTTTCAACTCCTGTTCTATACCTTCATTTTGAAATGTATGGTCTGCAAGATACAAGAATTGAAAAACTACTGAAATAACTTGGATGACACCATATGAGGTTCAAAGACAGACTACTTTGAAAAATCCACCCTGCTGAATGGTACCTAGTGTGAAAAGTGGAAGTTCTGCAATTAAACAATTTACAGGATAAAAGCCAAAAACACTACTGAAAGCTTAGCTAAAACATTGCTGGAATAATGAGTTCATAGACTGTGTATATACATTTTCACCAGATGTGGTCATCCTGGGAAAAATCCATGTATACTCTCTTCACAGGAGTAGTTCCGTTAGTGAAAACACTGTCAGAGCTAAATGGTAAAGAAGGTGCAGATGTTTGTGACTTCGTTTCACCTAACCATTTCCTGCCACCACCAGGTTGTATTCTCGCTGAACAGCTACAGTTCTCAATACCTTCCTAATCAAGGGAGATTCCCCTCCACACGGACTAAAAGCCTGTATGGGACTGAGTGTCAGAAGTTCTAGATTCTCACTCTGGTTTTACCATTGCCATTCCATGACCTACCATAATCCGGGTTAAATCACTTCCCTTCTTATTTCTGGGAAAGACAGATATTACGGACCCCCCCTTCCCCTTGCCAGAGCACCAAAGATGAATGATGTGAAATCCACAGCATTTCAGGTGTGCTGGGTATGTAAGAACCAAATCAATAATGTGAGCCCACGTTCCCCGAGAAGGGGCTGCACAGGCTTCCGTGCTGGGGTGCATTCTACCTTTGTTGCAGTGTAGATGAAAGACTGTAGGGGTGACCTCACCCCCACACATCATTTCTTACCGAGGCACTGCTGGAATGCAGCACCACAGCTCCGTATCTGCACTGGTTTTCCCTCTCAGCCCTATGTATGGAGAACATCCACTTTCTGTAGCTTTCTATTCCTCCTCTGTCCTGCAGAAGCATTACAAAATGGAGATAATCAGGGCTCAGGATTAAGGCCAGAGACTCCATCCCTAGGGATTTAGAATTTAAAATTAAGTAAAAAGAAATACAGAGTACTGGTTAGAATGAAGAAGTGATAATACAGATAAGAAGGGACTGCTATTTCTCCCCAAAGAAGCTGTTTCCTAAAGTATGTATTTGTAGGAATGAAACGTCTGCCAGATAGATCTCTCTCAGTTCTTGCTGGCACCACAATAAGGTACTTTGAGGAAGCAAACTACTAAATATGATTTTCTGAAGGTTTTGTTTTTTTTTGTTTTTTTTTTTTTTTTTTTTTTAAATTGTTCTCCATGATGTTGCCAAAAGGTTAAGAACTCCCAGACTCATCAGTCCTTTTCACAGCCAGACCTCCACCAAAATCACAGCCATAGAGTTCTACCCGGAGGGCAATACCATTATACCATGTTCTTGGAACAATGCGGATAAACCTGGACAAGATGGGTGGGTTAAAGAAATGCCTGACGTGCCCACTGCTGTTTTCATTACCCAGGAAAACCTGCGAATACACAAACACATAATTAGTAAAAAGGCAGCACTTAAAAAAAAAAACCCTGCTTTTTCTTTTTAAACTGGTTCTAAGTTGCATTAGCCATCCAGGGTAGAATGACTGGCTCATTTCTGATTTTACATAAGACCACATCAAGTCTCTTCCTAAAATGCTGGGTCAAAGCCAGTTCAGGCCAGCAATATCTGACTCTGGATGAATTAAACCATCCACACCACAATTTGCCATTCTAATTTGGATGGACTAAAAAAACCCAAACTTCCCTTATTTCACCTCTGCTAATACCCCTTATGGGTTAGGTTGGTATAAGGGTATATGGGCAACAATATAAAGTGTTGTGTCTGCTCCCTGGGTACCTGGAGCTCTCCAGCTCTGTTACAGCAAAACTGCTCACTAATTTCACTATAAAATCAAGGCAGAAATTGAAAAGCTGAGAAGAGGCCCTGGGAAATCCATCGTTGTTTCAAGTTAAGTGTCTCCATGCATTCCAATTTCTCCTTTACAAATAGTGTCAGTTCCTTTTATCACAATGTTGACTGCATTCTCTACAGATATGGAGTTCTTTCCTTTTATTACTGTTAATTAACACGATCAACCTCAGATGGATACTATGACATTATCTGTAGTAACCCCAGCTCCCTAGCATTTTTAAGTCCTGTGAGAATATGTCTTTGCCTGGATATTCTGCCTTTGGGCCTTGAATGTGCTCAGCACCTAAAACCAAGCAATGATACAATTGCCTGAGCTGAGGATGATACCTTTGCCACTGAGCTTGAACCATCTGTATAGGATTTCCACTCTGAGCCTTGGTCACTGTACAGGATAACATAGGTTTTCACAAAGTTTTCAGCAGATACAGACTTGACCCCCTGGGTAGCAATAGCAGTTATCTTCTTAACCGTGAGGAGATCGATTTGCAGCCACTGTTGGCTGTTGTTCAGCTACAATTGATAAAAAGATTGTTTATTAGCAAACATCTTCACGTCCATATTTTCTTCAGTGAAAAATCCTGTTTAAAGATAGTTGAAACTGCATCAAAATGCACCAGAATTGTATCAAAGAAGCGTAGTAGAGTACAGCTGAAGCAAAAGTCACAAGCATTCTTGGTGGCCCATACAATTAACTTCTTCACTGCAGGTGCTATATTTGGTGTCTTAAGATTTCCACCTTAATTTTCAATACATAACAAAAAATAACACTGATTTATCTCCAGTATTAAAATGTAATACATAATGCTAATAGCAAATGCTTACAACAAACAATAGCTTCCAGCAAATCTCAACGTGCTTCAAAGAAATGCTGCTCCATTCTGAAGACACAGAAGCTCATCCACCCCCAGATCCATTAAACTGCACTGCCTATATGCCAACCCAGGAAGGGTTTTTCTTTAACCTGCTTGAGCCAAATAATCTAGCTGCATTAATCTCCCAAAACTAAAAGGACTATTTCTGCAGGGAAGTGCTGCAGGCTCTGGCCCAGAGGATACCATCTATCTCTCAAAATACAATTTCATTGCTGTTGCCAGAAGCTCAACAAGATTTCTACTGAAAAGCTTGAATAGGCTTCTTCCCAAAGGATGGCTAAAGAACTGTGAAGTAACCCTACCGCGCTCTGGCACTGGAAACAGCGTGCAGGAAGCACACGAGCACACAGGCAGCACAGATTTATTAATTGTAACTGTCTTGCTGTTGTCCTTATTTTTCATTTGTTACCTTGGCCCGCCAGGCATTTATCTTTCCTTTCTGATTGAGACGAGCAAGTGAAGGGCCCCATGTGTTAAACCAGGATGTCTTAACAGAGGAGGCTGTTATCTGAGTATTTTTGATCTCTCCATTTTCCATTCCAAGTGGCAAAGAGCAACCTGTTAAGAGAAGCACCATGTCATCTCCAGTTCCTCCAAGTAGCCATACCCTAAGCAACAGTGCTGGAATTGAGAACACCCACAATTTTAGCTTAATTTAATGTATTAGGTAAAAAAAATTGCCAGAAAGGAAGCACCATCACACAACCCATTCTTACCATCTACTTCACAGCCCAGAAGCTCCATGCGAAGAGTAGGCCTGTTGTAGGATTCGGTTGGATAGACTCTGATGTACCTAGCAATAATAGGGGGATCAATGATGTTCTCTTTTACCCCATAGGCATCAGAATTACCTTCAAAAATCTATTAAAAAAAAAAGAAAAGAAAAAAAAATATCCACATACAGTTAATTTAATGCAAACACAAGCTTGTATGCTGAAAGCCTGCTCTGTTACAAAAGTAATCTTTTTCACGCCATTAGCCCCATGAATGGTAATGGAGCATCCTGTGCTGCAGGGCAACTTGAAACAATTCACAGTCACTTCCTAGCATACTTGGAAGTGCCTCAAGGTCTCAGTTCAAATAAGCAACCCACTTCTTGCACTATATATAAGTCTGCAAGAAAACATTAGCATAGAGGAGAAAGGAGAGGTAAAAGACAACAGGTTTTCACTTTGGGAGTTGTAACACAGAAACCTGAGGGTAAACTGAAGGGAGCTGTAATTGGTAGGGCTGGAGTGGTTGGACATAAAATGAACCTCTCGCAGGGTATGGCCACATTTATTAACACAGGCCTTCTGCAGGCAATTCAGACAGTTTAACAGTCAACTGTTGTGATGACAGGAAGGGAGGGAGAGGAAGAAGGATCTAGTCTCAAATGAGGTAGGGCCCAATTTTTAGTTCAGCTTCCTGCTTGCTTCAAGAAGCTGACATGGGATTAGGAAATAAAAGTAGGGAGAGATGCTTGTGAGAAAGTCAGACTCTATACAGTCAGGGTCACAGGGCCAACCTAAACCCCAGTCTAGGAGGTTCCTCACCTTATAATTTGTCTTCTGGCCTGGATTTGATTAGGTTGGTAAATGCTCTTTGGGGCCTCAAGCTGTATTATTAAGTCTCTGAAAGCCATAATTTTTTTCACTATCTCTTAACATAAAACTGTCACCTCACTGCATCATCCAGTGGTGCTACCCAGGGTGTCGCAACCCCTAAGGCACATACAGACCTTTTGTGCAGGACAGCTGTCTCCTTTGAAGGTGCTCCACTTCCTTTTGTCTTTGCTGTAAACAATGAAGAACTTCTGGATGTACAAGGACTTGAAAAACTGCTTGGCTCCCTGTGTCTGTATCCCAGTTAACAGAACTTGTCTTTGAAAGTCCACCTAGGAACAGCAATCAGTGTTTATAAGGCCAATAACACACAGTGAAATCTTTGTTTCATTCTTTGACATCTACACCATAGCTTTCAGCTCTCCATTTTAAAACCCACAGCACTAACACCCTCAGAGTAAATACGGGCAGATTTATTTGTGGGTGCATTTAATTTCAGAGACCATTTTATAGTGTTCAGCACAGGACCACAAAGAGACATCTCAAAAACGTGTCTCCATGCTAGGCAAGCTCTGCTATCCTCATTTTACAGATAGGCAAAAGGACTATAGAGAAATCCAAGGCTCACATTTTCATAAGCTGCCTTTAGTTTTCGATACTCAGTCTGAGAAAAGGGATACGACATTCTGAAGTGCTGAAAAATCCACCACTCCTGCTGGTATCAGATCAAAAAGCTGAACACATAAAATCAAATCAGCAAGACGTTCCTATAAGCAGTGAAACTCATTCTTTGGGATATGCTCTCCACACCTCTCCATGCTTTACTGCAGTAGCTTCAGCTTCTCATTACCATGCCCCCCATCAAATTCTTTCTCTTCCCAGCATTAGTTCCAGTTCCACATTAGTTTCCCCAACCTTTTCCTCCTGCTTCACCACCACTAACTTGCCAGGATGTCAAATGTTAGCAAGCCAAACATAAGAGCCACCTGTTGAACTTACACTGCAACACTAGTTTGAGTCTTCTCTTTTTTCTTCCAACTGCTAATTTTAATTGATTTCTTACAAATCTCATTATCTTCCCTAAATTTGGGTGCAAATTTGCTACCTGGTGCAAAAGCGACTGGAATGGAAGCAAGAGGTGGAAGAAGTGAGGTGACTGAATGATATAGTGCTTGAAGCCATAATTATAAGCTTAATTTTCCTGTGAAGCCACACTATGCTATGTCAAGTTGGACATAGAAGCATCCAGAACCAAACACACACAAAACTATCTGAAGCAATGTTTGAGAGTATTACACTTTAAATGATCACCCACCAAACATACATAAATATAAATATGTACTGTTAGACAGAGCTAAACACGTAATGGGGAGAGTTACTTCATTTGCCTACAAAACAGTCTAAATTGTGAGGGTAACTGTCCAGTCAATGGGCCTCAATAGCAATAGAGACTGGGTTACTCCACAGAAGGTGGACAGTTTACGGTATCACCAATCAAGCTTGCTGCATTTTTTCAGTTTTCCTCAGCAGTCTTCTCAGCAAGAACAAGAGCAGCTTGACCTTTTAAAACAAGCTGCAAGATAATCACAACACAGGATTGTATGGGCATACCCAGGCTCAATGACGGTCAAAGCACATGTTGCACCAACCATACCTGGATCCAGGGGAATTCTCCATTTTTCATTGTAGTGCTCCAAGCATTGTATGTTCCAGAATTGTTTAATCGGGCTAACTTAGGTTCCCAATAGTCTAGACAGAAAAAATGAACACAGCAAGAATTTAAAGAGAGGTGCTGAAAAAACAATGGAAGCTGTAACTAGCTGATGTTGAGTGCTTCAGTTATTTTCCAATGTCTTGGGGAAAAAGCCCCATCCAATAGACTCTAAAACCCTAATCTAGGATAATTTGGACATAGCCAACAACTGAAAGTCAGCTGTTACTCTGCAAAGTTTTATAGTTGGGAGAATGATTTTAAAAATAACATTTTATGCAATGTATTGTCTACTGATTTGAACCTAGGGTCTAGAGTCTGCTAAACAAGTTTTGGCCACCAGCAGGATCAGACACAAAATGTGTTCTACATTCATGGCAGAGAGCTTCCCTTTGCATAAGGAGGTTTCCATGTTAAAAACTGATGTGAAATATGTATGACAGCACAACTTTCAAGCCTTCATAACGCTGTGGTGGAAAATGAAGAAAGGAAAATTAAATCCACATAAAAATCAGTTTTCCAAATTAAGTAATCTATTTGTTATTTTGAGGGAAAGGATGTGTCTTCCTGCATGCATGTGTAACCTGTATACCTTGATTTGCCACTCTCCGTGTAAAATTCTATCAATTTCTCTATCAAATTATCCCACTTCTATACTAGGAATAAACTTGATAAATTAAATACTCTGTCATTGCTCTGGACGCCAGGTTCCCAAATCTTTCATAACAATACACTTTCAATCATAGAATCATAAAATACCAGGTTGGAAGGGACCTCAGGGATCATCTGGGTCCAACCTTTCTTGGCAAAAGCACGGCCTAGACAAGATGGCCCAGCACCCTGTCTGGCTGAATCCTAAAAGCGTTCAGTGCTGGGAAACACTGTTTGTTCTTTCACATCTCATACCATATGCCAATCGCAGAAGTTTTTTGAATACTTGGTGTTGATTTTCAAGCAGGGAACCCAAAGGATAACAAGATAAAGCTAGATTTGTTCCAGGTCATCCAGCAGGCCAGACAGAGGACTTCCTGACTCTCAGGCTTGTGAAATTGTCAGTAGGCCTGTGACACTGTTAAAATACAGTGATGAGGGCTATTTAGTACAGCTCACAGTCTCCGCTTGCATCACTGGAGAGCTTTTTAACCTGTAAGTTGAATCACTGCTGAATGGATCTTGTACAACATATCATGAGATGCCAAAAGAATATGAAACTGCAATACTTTGCTGGGGATATTCAGGAGCATGCCTGGACCTTTTCAAGTATTAACTCACCTATATGATGTGAAGCGTCAATCTGCGAATCGAGTACAACTCCACTCGCTAGACCCATTGGAATCCTGCACTCTAAAGAGAGCACAGTACATTTGTTGTTAAAGAAAAGTAGGGCTATTCCAATATATATTCTGGTGGAATCTTTCAAGACAACATCATTCAGAACAATTCTTAGTAATACTGTAAAATCACTACTCTCCTCCCAGAGAAGGCCAAGTTAACACCTGCAATTTCTCTCAGCAGATTGATCCACTGGTCTCTGTGAGGAAACCTCACTAGATAGTATGCTAAAGGAATAAAAGTAGGACACTAAGTAATTCTAAGCTAGTACGCCAAAGGCTAAGCGTTTTTTCTTCTAGAATAAATTTACAGTAATCACTCCACCCCCTCCCTGAAAGTGCATAGAATTTGCTTTGGGCTTTTGCAGAACAATCTCCCAAATTTATTTTTAGTGATCCTGAAAGGGTAGACATGACTTTACAGCTTGACTCCCCCAGACACAAAACACCTTAGTTCAGTACCTTTCTCTATAACCAGATAGGATGCCTGCATTCCTGCTTGCTGATATTCCCCCACTTCAGTGTCTAATAGCCACCAGCCAGGTCTCTGTGGTTTCATTTCAATTGTTCTAAATGAGCCTTGAAAAAAATGGAAGAGAAATGTATCAGAAACATTAGCATAAGGTCGATGTTAGCGAGGCTGGATGTTAAACTAAAGATCATCATATGACTTAATCCAGAAAAATGAAATAACCTGCCACAGATTGCAGAGAGAGCAATAGCTACCACCATCTCAACTTTTTTTTTAATTTTTCTTGTCATGCAAGTTCCAGCTGGAAAATGAGGCTGGAATTAAGTGACCAGATCAAAACCTAACCTTTGCTGCTGGTGCAAAGTACAAAACTTTGGATGCCTGTATGTAACAACAGATATTAGCCCATTATTACAGTGCTGAGCCATGTAATGAACAATGCTATCAAGTTTATTGCATAATGTAGGGATGTTTATTCTGTGTTGCTGTTTATAGTTCTTACTCCTGCTGCCCCAATGTGTTGTCCAGGTAAAGTAAAGAATGGATGTAAAGAAGCCACAAGTAGATGTAGGAGAATCAGATGTAGGGACCCTTTCCTCACTTTCTGCATGACCCAGGAGGGACAAGGATTGAGCAGGAAGCAGGTAGGGTTTAGGCTGTTTTCTGCACTTTTTAGAAAGCACGGTACATGCTTCATTGCTTTTCTTATATTCCTAGTTAGTGCAGACATGATAATTCTGGTTCCTATTTAAACAAAAATGTATGTAGATGTCAATGAAATACATTACCTTAAAATGATTAAATAGTGAATAAACCACCTAATGTTCACAGAAAGAAACTCTTACTGTTCTAAGCCAATTTTTGATTTATAATTGGAATTATAATTCCAAGTCATTATTTTAAACTTGTTTTCTGTTTTTTGTTTGTTTTTTGTTTATTTGCTTGTTGTTTTTTTTTGTTTTGTTTTGTTTTTTTTTTTTAAAAAAAAAAACAAACCAAACCAAAACCAAAGCCAAAACAAACACTCGTAGCTGGCAATACAGGCTTCATAAGTGCTGTTATTGCACACTCATACTGCTGCCAGTGATGGACAAAGGAGTATATCCTGTGGCCTAATGAATGCTTTTAGCCTATTTCCTTTCTTCCTGGACATAAGAATTCTCCTAGGGCTCATATTTGTTCTTTCTCTTCTATATCTTGACACTATAAAAATAAACCCTCACCATACTGAGCCAGATACCAATATTTCTTCCCAGCAAACATCAGTGAGACTTCAGTGGTATTGAAGCCTGGGGACACATGTACAGGATGGCTGCACTATTTTACATTTGTAATTTCACAATGAATTGGTGGTGGATGCTATCCTACTGACTTTCTTTTTCCAATAGAGGACTTTACTGCTGAGCACCTTCCAAAGCCAAGCCCAGCACTATGACCTACTCTGCAGAGAGGAATAAGATTTGCAATAAAGGAGAGAAACCCACTGATGCTCACATATCTGGTGAGTGTCAAGGCAAGTGCAAAACAGAAGGTAGTGCTGCAGACCATACTGCTGTTCATTTTCCATATATATATCTCCCTTCTCATCTGAGGAAGATGTTTATCCAAGAACATAAGTTTTGTCTGTAACTTAACTCATATTTCCAGTTTTAAAGGATAGCAATGTCATCTTTATTCCCTCCCTCCCACAGTGTTAATTGAGGTGCAAAGCAATGATCTTCCTTCTGACCATCATAGGCAAATGAACTGTTAGTGCTCTCAAACTCTTTCTTACTGTGCCCAAAGCCAAGTTCTGGTCACCTTTACACTGGTATGATGAAAACAGACTGCAATAATTACCCCTTAGAACTTAGATACTTACCTGGAAGGAGTGTGTATGTACCAAGCTGATGCTTTGGTTCTCCTTGTTCTATGAAGGTCTGTCCATGAAAATGAACAACATGAATGTCTTTTGGCCCACCCATATTCAGCAAATGCCATCGGACTAGTTCACCTTCATACATCCTCAAGCCTTGCAAATTGTAGGTAATCCCATTAATGGCTGAAAAAAACATATTGTTAGTAAGGAAAAATGTTCACAAAACATGTCTCAAAGCGCTAGAATGTAATTATTGAAATGAGTAAAATATTTAATGAAGCAATTCATTTGGGAAAAATGCCACCTTTTCCAAGTTAAGTGCTATACACTTTGTAGTCTATGTTCGTTGGTTCAGAAAATCCAGGGACCTCACCAGAGGATTTGAGCACAGTTTGCTTGCAACACATGGCAGCCAGGACATCAAGGAAGTGTAAGAGATTAAATGCTGATGGGAACATCAGGCCCAAAAGAAAGGACAGCTATCCAAAACGTGTTCTGCAGCTTACAATTCCACAGCCATACAGACACAACTGACATCTTCAATTAATAACTGATTTTAGAGATCATATTTTCAAAAGGCAGATTCCACTTCTCACCATGTCTTTTTCAAACATAATCACTTACAGCACACAAGCATCAGATTTTCAGACGGAAACAGAGCTTCATTGTTGACCATTATTTCAAAGAGAAAAAAGTGTTACCTTTGAACAGTCAGCCACTTAATGCTCAATGACTAAAGTCTTTGTATCCACAGAGGTATATATGAAGGGCTGTCCTACAGTTGCTTCAAATTCCTCAGTAGAACTAGTTTATTTGTCAAATTATTACAATATTTTTAAATTTCTTGCAAAAAATTTTCAGGGATTTAGCTTCTTACTGAAAAGAGGGGCTTTGTTGTTTTATTTAAAGATAAGGAGTAGATGTATGTGAGTGTGAAAGAGAAATTTTCTGTTGAAAATTGCAGTCTAATTTCTTTTCTTCATTTTAATAACAAATTTCCAATCTATGCTAATGTTTACATATAAAACTATGATTCTTATGGGTACTGTGGAGAACAACAAAAAAACCCCGTTCATATAATTAGCATGTAGGATTTACGTGTGTTCATAGGCACTGTGAGCTGAGATACCTCCCCTAATACCTTTCCCTCTACCCCAGTAAACTGAGTACTTGGCAAAATTAAATAAGTACCATAGAATTTGTGGCATTGCTGCATTTCTTGGGTCTTCTCAGTACAAGGTCTTCTGGAACGTTTGTCAAAGTACCAGCTTTTCTCTTCATCAAAGACCATAAAAAGCAAGAAAAAGTCTCGGGTTGATGTCCTGCTGTTTGAGTTACTGAAGGTTCCTTTTTGACAGATCAGTATTGGCCCAATCAAACCAGAGTGAATATCTTTCTCCTAGAAGGTAATAAACTCATATGTAAAACTGGATTTCCCAAAAGATGTCAAAAACCCCATAACATTCTGTAGAAATGCATCAGGCCCTCAAAATTTAAAGCAGAGGCCAGAATTGCTGTTGCCTTGTATCTTTACTTTCCCCTGCTCAGTCTACCAAACAGTTCTCCAACTTGAATTCTTCAACAGCTCATATCCTCTTTTAACTGAGTTTAAGAAATTAAATGTCAGATGGGAATCTCAGGCTCAAAAGAAAGGACAGTTATCCAAAACGTGGTCTGCAGCTTACATTTCTACAGCAATACAGTAACAGCATTTGGAGATATTCAAAACTTGACTGGACATGGTCCTCGACAACCTACTCTAGCTGACCCTGCCTGAGTTGCAGGGGGTGGATTAGATGATCTCTAGTGATCCCTTCCAACATAAATGTTTCTGTGATTCTGTGATCAACCCCAGCAACATTATCACTTCTATTTTGACACCCTTACCAGATTTAAATCAGAGTAGTAGATCCAGGACCGACAAGCTGCTCCTGACTGCAGAGGTCCTGATCGCCTGTTTGCATACCATACGTATATATAGCTGTTATTTGGCTGAATTTCATCATCTTCCTTAAACCAAGCAGTAGATTCATCATCATAAATGCTTCCCTCGGAGGACTTCTCATAGAGGAGTCCATGAGCATGGAGAGAATATGGTCTGGATGCTAGATTCTTAAAATGAACCTTAAAAAAAAAAAAAAAAAAAAAAAAAAAAAGATTCTGTTCAGTCAGTTCAGGCATAGAGCGAAGTCCCCACACAATACATTTCCATGACCTCAAACCAGGGTCAAGATAAGATTTGTGTAATGATTACAGGCTATGTCGTGCATGGCAAAGGTGGCAGGGATAGCTTTGACATCTCCATGCAGTGTCACCCTCTTTGATGCAGGTAGTTGATTAAAAAGTAGAAGCCACGAGTCTAACTCCCTGTCTTAAACTAAATCTAGGTTCCTAGGACTTTTACTGCTGCCCCTCACACCTGTATATGCTTTGTTACAGCAAGAAGGGAGATGGGGAGTTCCTACCTCTTATGATTTGCTTCAGTGTCACATTAAAGAATGGTGCAAAATAGAAACACTAGACCTCTGCATGTATCACTTTCACCAAAATAAGTGCTTCTCGCTTGTCATGAGGATAGGGAGATTACACATTTACTTCTTAGAGAAAGGTGCTCCCAAGCTAAAATAGCCTCTTCCTTCTCTTACTCGTGTTTTAAAATGTAGCTCAGTGTGTTCTTGTTGTGCACCACTCCTACTTAAATACACAGAAAGCAGTGAGATCTACTCCCCCCATCTAATTCCATCGCTGTGTGATGAAAGGCTGGATGAGAGGCAATGTGCTTCCTAATGCAAATATACCACTGTATCACCAGGGATACAGTTCCTCTCCATCCTTGCTGTTTGTATTAGAACTAACCAACCCATTTACAGCAAAAGTTTTCATAGGAAAACATACTTTTTGGACAAATATATATATTAATCTTAAATAAAAATTTACTAATTTCTTAAAAAAAAAAAATTAAGAAGCTCCCTTTACATATAGAAAGTAATATTTTCAGACCCAGTGTAATGTAACCTTAAATCTCATTTTACATTACACTGATAAGCCAGTATCAAATGTTGGGAAACATAAGAAAGAAAAACAAGTGAATTTACTGTGGATAGGAAAAAAAACAAACACGTTTTTCAAAGAAACACATCACTGTGATTGTATGTCCACACTGCAATTTCTAGCTTTGAAAACTGTTTCCCCACCATCATCCTTTAAAAGTTTGTGGCATTTTTAGACCCACTCTATGTCACACTAAGATCACCATAAGAATCTTAGCCAGCACACATATTTGAAACATTGACCTACTAGGATAACATCGTCCACTTCAGCCCGGATAACCGGCCCCAGGATGCCGAGGTGTTCTTTATATTCATCTTCATCCTGAAGAGTCGTAAAGGTACTGTCTGTATAGCTTTGGAAAATCACCTTATATGTGCTGCCATCTTTACAGGTTTTGTCACTCATCATTGTACTGAAAGGAAATCCCCAATTAAAACCCCACACAGTGAATCAGAAAGAATAGCTTTGGTGAAATCTGAGAACTCATACAGCAGGAACATTTTAGAATATAAGGAATAAACACACAAAGAAGTGTCAGATGATTCTGAAAATCATGACTTTCAATGTTTGAGCAATCCTAGTTCTACAGTTGCATGAGATCCTTCAAAGATTTGGTTGGCTATCACTGAAAAACTCCAACTAGTCTCTGAAAACCCAGCTGAGGTCTATTTTACTTTTGTACCATTAGACTTAATCTGAATCAGATCTTAGCTCAGAGTGTAGTGAGCACACCATCTATATCCTACTGTCTCACAGGTGTACCTTCACTGGAAAGCTAACAGAAAAACATTTTACATTTGGTTATACCTGCATTTTGCAACACAGAGCTGGTAAATAAAAATAAGCTTTTAGGCATTCAAACCATTATACAGCTCTTAGATGCACCAAAATGCTATTATTCTGATAAAACATGTAATTCTCTATAAACCTTGCCTCATTATCAATTCTGCAAACCCCAGAAACTTAACCAAAGTCATCTAGGAGGAAAAAACCCCTGGTTTTCAGATCTTCAACACACTGAGATGGTATATGCCATGGGCTCTGCTAATTTCACTGGAACTATGCACCTCACCAGCTGAGGATGAACCTCACCAGGAAGATCTATATAGAGCTCTGAGCATAAGGATTTCTTTATTTTGCAAGTGTGCAAAGAGTCTGTCTTCAGTTTCTGACATTTTTGCAAGTGCCATTTATATGGACTGAGATGAGATAGGAATAAAACTGAAGAATACTACAACTGTGTGTTGGCGGGAAATATCAATCAAATAAAATGGAAATTCAATTTAAGAAATAATATATGTTTGGACCTGAATTTTGTATAATGAAAACTTTCATGCTCCTGTTTTTGCTGCTTTTGATAAACATCTGAAGTTGTGGCAGTTTTGGTCTTGTTCATTTCAAAGGACACAAAGTTCAGCTTTTTGATGAAAAGTGACTAGGAATTCTACACATTGTAGGGTGGGCACTGATCCTAATTTGTATGAATTAAGGTAATGACTTTTTAGTACAGGTTTTCTCTCAAGTCACATATACTTTTTGCTGTGGCATAATAGTGGACAGTCTTTCCCTGTCAAAATGTAAGAAAACTCCTGAACATTAGGGTTTGTGATCCAGTCACCTGTTTTCTCTAAATGGTAAGAAAAACAATGCAATCATTCATGCAGCTTTATTTTTACTTTAACTATAAGGCAGTCACCAGTGTGTGGTTTTTTTTCTTTTTTGCATCTTTCATATATTTTTCAGTACTGCATCCTTGTGAATTTGGAAAGTGCTATTACCCATTTTACAGTAGAGAACTGAGACACCAGAATCGCTTCTTGCTAGTGCTAGAAACTGTGATTTCATCCTGCCTACAAGCACATCCTGTCTGCATTAGATCAGTCTGTCCATTAAATTCCTGGAAAGACTTTTGTACAAAGTCTCTACCCTGTCTCCATCACAGAACCCTAGAACTCAAGAAGGAAGTAAACCAGGTCATTCAATATAGCAAAACTAACTGGAAGTTTCCCCTCTTGACCTCTTACAGTGGGTTTTTCAACTTCTGTTTTGAAGAGTGTTTCCAGTGAGCTACAAAAGCAGGTTAAGTAGTTGTGTTGCTCTTGATTATAGTAATCTCTCTCTATGACATTGTAGGGGGCTCCTAGCCTCCCATGGAAAATTCTTAGGGTTTTGAAACTGAAATATTGGAAATCACATTGCATGTTAGAGATGGTCTTAAATTTCAGTATGTGACTCAACATTCTGCTAGTATGTATCAGGGTGGTATGTAAAATTAAAGTAAATGATTTAGCCAAACCTTTTTTTATATCCTGCATAGTTCCAGCAGACCTCTTCAGCTGCAATATAGTATCTCCGCTCGTTCCCTTTGCTTCGCAGGTAATGCTCAGCAATGTTGTCAGGGTTACGTTGTTCATTGATATTCACTTTTGGGTCTGTCATGTATGGGTCATCAAAGCTCACATAGTGGTATTCGTATTCACCACCCGATGTTTCCTCGCTGTAAGACCTTTCCGTAACATATTCGTAGTCTCCATTTTCCTGGGGAAGCCCAATCATGATTGATGGCTTAAGCTGCCGTGGGGTGAGCGTGTAATTTAGCGACTCTCGGTGCCTGGCTCTACTCAGATCCACTGTATGGTTGGCCTCACTGGGTGCCCCTGTGGTATTAGCACAACACGGCAGTGTTGTGTGGTTGGTCTCACCCAAAAACAATGTACGGCCAAACCCTGCCATAGAATTGGTTATTTTTTGGGGCTTTTTACTCCTTGGGCTCAGCAAGTGAGTCATTTTTGGATATTCCTTCTTCTTCCTTCGGATCTTGATGAAGGTTCCAGATGTGCTCCAAGTATCATTCTTGCTCCCCAACTTTCCTTTCAGAGTTGGGTGCATGTGCCTCCTTTTCTGCTTTTCTCCCATGAGATGTGAGAGCACTTGATACTTCTTCATATGCTTCTTATTTATGAATTCTGTCCCATTCCTGCCACGATGATTTAACTTACCACTAAGAGATTTATCTAAATCTGCCTCTAAGCCCAGGCTCCCCTTTGCAGACACCAAATTCCATTCCTCATTTGTCATTTTGGATGAGTATTTCCCAGTCCTAGGCAACAATGCTTCCAGTAATTTCTTCACTAGTGCAGGGTTGGAATCAGGGCTTATACTGCCTAATGTATGATCTAAAGAAAAAGTGTCTGCTTGTTTATCTTTGGATAGCTTGGGTTCAGAGAGATTGGATGCATTAGACACATCTACAGTGAGGTCCAAAGCAAGCGTCAGGTTAACTGCACTCATGGCATTTTCCATCTTTGTTTCCTCTTCTTCCAGTTCATCATCGTAATCATGTGGAAGCTGGCCAGTTCCCACCGTGTCTGTATCAGATGTGTTTTCTGCATGATGCACAGGGTAAGGTGCACTTGTTGTGTCAGAAAATGAAACATTTTTATTTCGTACATGATTTAAAAGGGCATTCATCTTTTGAACAGCGTAAAACTTCATGGCCAGTGTGTTTCGCCTTTTTCTTTTACTGTTAATGTTATAATTTCCTCTTCCTATGCTTTCCTCTTGATGCTTTTCTGAAAAAAAATTACTGTCCTTTCCACCAGTTGGAAGTTCTTCTGCAATGTTAATCTGGCCTTCCTCATTGCTCAACAAGTGTTCACCTGCAGACACGTTATCGTGATCTATTCCATAATTGCTTTGGCTTCTATTCTCAAATACAGAGTCAGCCTTTCCATCACTTGTGCTAGCTAAAAATAAGTCCTCTTCTGCTGTGACTGATGTGTGATTTGACTGGAATGTTTCAACCTCAACTGGGGGAGGAGGAGTGATACGAGTTTCTAGGTATTCTGAGGTGTTTGCAGATTCACTACTATTTATAGCTGCCAGACCTGAGCCAGCTGCCATCTCAGAACTCATGCCATCAGTGCGTTCATACTGTTCCCAGGCCAGTGCTGTAAGGTTTTGTTTTTCTTCATTGCCTGTTGCCTTCCTTGAGCTTCGGATGGAGTAAAAAGAAGCCAGGTAATCCTGATAATCCAAATCCTCCTTATCTCCTTCATATTCTTCTCGCACACCTTCTTCAACTGAAGTGGAAAGAGCCTTTTTATCAGTCTTGGTGTAAGTGAAATCCACAACATCAAATGTGTAATCTTCCTCATAGTCACATCTGGCATCTCTGAATCTCAGCCTCATGCCATAACTCATCTCTGGGGTACCCCAGGATGCCAAAAGCCAGGTACCTGCAATTGAAATAGAAGTGGTTTTCTAATATGTAGTAGTTACTAGAGAGGACATGGCCTATCACATAAGTGGTCAGGGTAAGTTGCTTGGTTTGCTTCTACAGTATCTGCTCTAGCAGAGTGCTATCACCTGGGATTTCCATGAGCTCTCAATTGCAAAGAAAAATAATAAAAGTCAATAATTCATAGCACATATAAACAAACACATCTATGAGCTGCAGTTCTTCTCCACAGATTAAGCTGTACCTAGGAACTGAGTCCACATATAACCATGAAAAAAAAAGAAAGGAACAATATAAAGTATCCTATGTTTAGATCTGGATATAAGATTGGGATATTTTGAGATAAAGTTTTAATTTTGTCCTGCTCTTAGTGCTGTATGCATTGCCACACAGGTAGAGCATTCTGAACACAACAAATACATTCTGAGGCAGTGTTGACGAGCATCTGACAAACATAGTATTTTAAAAGCTTTTGAATGCATAAAGGATGATCTTTAAAAGAATAAAGTCCTTTGAATTTCCAATCTGGACACAAAACATTAAGCTGCCAATCTGAGGCATTTTAGATTAACCTAAATATTTTAATAATCCCTCCAAAACCCAGTCAGAAGACAAGTTCTCCATTTGAAACCAGGATCTCCAGAGAACAAAATACAATGTTTCCCTAAACAGCATCAAACCATGTTCTTTGCTTGTTACAGCTTGCTTCTGGAACTAGCAGAAATTACATAATATACAGAACTAACAGACCTTGAGAAAACCAGCCTTTCTTATTTAAAGTGTCACATAAAATTTTTCTGTATTTATCAGAGTTTGAAGTGACCTGCATAGCTTTCCTTATTTCTATTAGCAAATTCACAAAATAAAACATGCGCTAGATGGAAAGAACAGATCACAAAATCAAGCAGAAGTTCATTACTGGGGAGGTTTCCGTAAAGTCTGATGGAGTTTTCATGTTCCCTAGTCTTGAACAATAAAAACCATTTAACATACAATACCTTTTTAACTTTAACTTGAAGCTGTGCAATCATCAAAAACAAGCTTTGAGGACATAAAGAATTAATTGTTTAAATAGATAAAAGGTATTAAAAAAATTGTTATTTTAAATAGGATAAGGATACCTAAACCTTGTGGCATTTTAGGATGATCACTAAGCACTCACAGCCTTCAATGAGGAAGGTATTACCTTTTGCAGGTAATTCCATAAGTGCGGACTACATGGGTTCTAGCATCACCTTTTCAAGGTATGGTATTAATCCTATTTAGACATTGAGAGGTATACTGATGGTCCAGTGATCCAATTCAGCCAGGCAAATTTTACTGCTGCTAAACGACCACAAGCCTAAAGTGAGGTGTAGCTCATTTGACAGTCTTGGCCCATTTTAGTTAACTCAGGATGGACAAGTACGTGGCAGAGTTGGGAATCATACAACGGAGTTGATACTGGATTGTTTCCAAGGACAATCTTAGAATTGCCTTAAAAATATCACTGCTAACCCAAATACTAATTGTGAAGTGAAAAAAAACAACCAACCAACCAAAAAGAGCCTCGGTACAGCATACAACTATGCTATGTGCTAAACCTGGGTAGCCAACAAAACTCCATACACATTGGTTGCACTAGAGAATGATTCAACATTTTCCAGCACCATGTTTATCTGAAAAGCTTTCTTTCCTATTTAGGTAAGTCCTTACAGACAGGAGATTTAAAAAAAACATCTTAGAGTTGTCAAACACTATGGTTTTACCACTTACCAACATTGTCCATTTCCACTATGACTGATTCTCCACTCATTGGGAAAAGGTTCAACACATCTTCATATTTCCCTTGATACAGAAAAGAGTGCCCAGAAAGGCGAACAGAGACAATCTCATCATGAGTGCCAACACTGGAGAAGTGCCACTGAACCACGTTATCTTGGCAAAATCCAAGGACTTCACTGCTGTCAGACACATAGCCATTTATTGCTAAAAGGAAAGCAAAATAAAAACTCTCTCAATATTTTCATAGTAAGACTTTTAAAACCTCCTGTTCTTTGATGTCAGTCCACTGAACTGGATTCACATTTGCACCTAGAAAGATACTGGCACAGGGCTGAAGCCACAATAACCTTGATGCAGATTCCAGCTCTGGAAATAGTATTTCCAAGGCAGCAGGGCGCTGCGTCAAAGTTAAATAACCTTCACCTTTGCTTCAGGGTCCAGAGCCAGCCTGCTCCCTAAAATATTGCATATTTCTGTACAGTGCCATCTGGCATGATTAGAAGTTCACTGACTCTCTAGAGAATTCCCTCATTGCACTACATATGAGAACAAGCAGTTACTGAATGCTCAAGTTCACATGAGCTTTCATAATATTCAGCTTGACATCCCACTCACTGTGCATTATGTTCGAGTTATAGAACTTGGGATCGTCCCTTTTAACACTGGCAGGGTTGCTGCAGTAGTTCTTGATGTTATCCTCTATGTACCAGCTCTTGTTTTCATCGAACACAGCAAACATTGCCTGCTGCTCCCCATCTGCCTTTTTCTGAAAGACAATCAACACAGCAGTTACATTTTGTAAGCAGAGATATGTATTAAAGATTGAATCCTACTATCTTTCTCACTTACTATGTAAGCATGATAAGCTTCACCAGAGTTGTGGTAAGCATGATCCAATGGCTAAGTGAAAGGGAGTAGGGGGCACGACTTCAAGGTCACAGTCCTACTACTGCAACCAACCTGTAGTGGAGCACTGAGCAAGCCACTGGCACTGCTGATATGCAGATGGCATACAACTAGGTTCTCTGTAAAAGGACCAGACTCCTGGTTTGACCTGAGCACAAGCTTTTGACATTTTTTTCTCCCAGGGGATGCTCAAGTCTTTGTCAAGCAAGTATTCAATGGATGGCAAAGAGAACCACTCTCTCAGAAGTCTCCCATGCTGTTTGGGTTGCTCTGGATTTAGTTATGCCTGAGACAATCAGACTGTTGAGTTATATCTGTTACAGAAAGGGACCAGCTCAGATCTGAATGTCTTCAGAGTGTGGAAGTATAATAGCAGCAAGAAAGTTTATTATTAGGTCTAGAAATAGACTTTCAAGTCAGGCTGACCTTCTGTTGAAATGCTGCTCTTGCTAAGAAAATCAGAATATAATTCCTCTACTGCTGCAGACAGTTAGAGGACTGTCTCCTTCAAGTAATTTCTTCAGGAACCTATTGGTTTAATTGCTCTCTACACAACAGTTCTCTAAGGTGAGCAAAACCAAATTTACTGTAGATCAAGTAATATTATTTGAGGAAAATCTATCTCTAAGAGGTTGCTGAACACGTTACCTGCACGCCCTTCTGTGTCAGTGCTTCACTTTTACAAATCAGAAGTGGGCCAATCAGTCCAGAGGCTATATCTCTCTCAATATCTACAGCACTATGATATAGCCTTGTAATACATTGTGCATCCTGTTCAGTGGGTTGGTCTGTTTTAGCAATTTTCCATTCATAAGTGTAAGTCTTCCCAGGTTCAATTCCTCTACTCTGGGTGCCATTGCCTAAGGAAAAATAAAGGAGAACAGTAATGATACAAACTTGGAGCCACATCCTTATATAAACATCAGGCCGCATCTTTTAATGAAATTGGTGCAGTTATGCCATTTCAAGCTACCTCTGCGATACCTGAACTTCAGCATGAACTTTTGTTTCTCTCTAAAATCATAAATAAGAACAGAAGACTGACACCAAAAAAGGGCATTTGTCTATGCTTTGCAGATATTACCTTGGTTTCTCTATAAGGCTACACAACAGGTCAGCAGGGGCAGAGCACAGAACTGAGGTCTCCCAGTCATGCTCATTCCTAGCCACAGCATCTCCTTCAAAGCAATGAAACCCTCCACATCAGTTAGCAGTAGGCAAAGTGTAGTCCACAAATTTCTTACTTGTGGGATCCAGAGGATAATCAGCTCCTTCTGCATTTTTTGAAAGTGTCACTCCATGGAAGTAAATGCTGTAGGGTCGACTGGCCTTATTTTTGAATACAATCTGTATCGATAGGCAATTGAGAAAAAAGAAAAAAATGGATTTAGTATTCAGCAAATCCTTGTTTAAATACATAACAAAGTTTCAACAACAGTAGAATTTGCCTGGTTTCAGCCCAGGAAGTGCTGGAAAGGCAAAAGAATGTCTTAAATATTGTCTGATAACATAAATCCAGTCTAAATGCTGCTGGTACCCTGGTGCTGGGGCCATTGAGCTTCTTACACCCTGTCTCTGAAAAATCTAAAAAGAACAGTTCTTCTAGCTACTCAGGCACACATTACCTCAAGGAATATGAAGGTATTGACTAAAGTTCTTGAGAACCTTAAATAAAGGAGAAAACAAATTTAAGCAGATTAAAAACCAAATCTTGTCCCAGATTCCACAATCCAGAGGGGATATGGAAGGAAAAGGCAAAATGTCCTGCCTATTTTTGATAAAACCAGAAAAAAGAAGAAATGTACTAAATTCAAATTCAGAGTCAGAGTCACGGTGGCAATTGAAGGTCATGAAACTTTGTGATGCATCATTAAGACAACAGACACATGTATGTGACAGCAGCACAAGCTTGTAATGCAAATGCTTTGTAGTTTGATATTATAACCCCATGAAAGAACATTTAACTATGAAAACTGAGTACCATTGTCTAAAACATCCAGGTAAAATAACAACATAAGGAATGAGGGGCTCATGAAGTTTGGCCTCGCATCCAAATCCCCCCAGAAGTCCACCTGTGTCTAGCTTGTTCTATTTTGGACTAGTGTCAGCATATTTTACAAAAAGTGTGAATGAAGTATGTTTATGTTGTGAAATAAAGTACAATCATGGAGACTACAGAGAGAATGCTGAAAAATTTCATCTAAACACTGTCAATTTGTGATCGTACCTTTCAGTAGGGCCAATATTTATAACATCAGCTATATTTTTTTTAATAAAAAACCCATATCAAACTAGTTCTTTTGTATCTCTGTCCAACAGAAAATTATGCTATAGTATCAATAATCTCTGAATTTATGTTACTTACTTTGACTTTGTCATTGAGTTGAGCTCTGATAATAGGGCCTAAGATTCCAGTTTCCTTGGGACGAGGATTTTCAAGACGTTTAGTGAAGCTGGCATCAGTATATTGCCTAAAAATAGCCTTTTTATACTTTTTACCTATGAGATTTGAGAAGTTGTCCAAGTGCTGCGCTTTATAGTGTCTTAAAAATAAAGGAAAACACAAACAATCAAGAAAACTTGATTAGTGACATCTATCAGAATACAGAACTAGTACTCAAGTAACTGGTAGAAGCCTCACTGCCTGAAAAAAAATACAAACCCTAAACTAACCTAATGCTATTCACCTCAAATTCTAACCTAAATTAGGTAGGAAGAAACTTGGAACATTATCTGTGTTTTAGTATCACATATCATCAATCAGTACCAGAGTTTACATTTAATTTAATAGGGTATACATGCAAGAGAGAAACAAACTGAAGCAGTAGCTACATTTTTCAGATAAGATAGCAGAAATCACTGTTCTCTTTGTAAAAAGGCATAGCTGAGTATAGAAAAAATAAACAATTTGCTTACAATAGCAAAGACTGGAGGAGAGACAGGAACAGATAATCTTAATCCCAGTCAAGCACCATACAATAAGTAGTATTACACTCAGGTTTAAAAACATTAGAATTGTTAATGCTGAGAACAAAACTAGGGTAAATACTGAGAAGTAACACAGAGTAATGTGTTTGTCCTGGTCACCTGTTCTTCAAAAAGGTTACTGAACAGGGATAAGATCTGTTATTTTGAACGCAGGAGGAAAAGATGAGAGCACTGAGGCAGTTAAGTAATGCCACATAATTAGCAGGGAAGGATATAAATTTGCTCCATGCAGTCCCAGTGCAAATAAGAAGGGAAGCAAATCATACCAAAGAAAGAGGAATACTTTACGTGAACACTATACTCTAAAGAGGTATGTGAAATTATAACCCCATACATCGTAAGGAATTTGTCTTGTTCTCCTTAAATCCTTAAAGGTTCTTATGAGCATCAGCTTGTAAAGTCACCAGTATTCTAGCAGTAGGGAACTGACAGATTGCAAATTTAATCTTACAGTGCACTGGCAGCATTGTGTACAATGACCTCACGTATGTTACCTAATTCCTTTGATTTACCTTAGGTTGAACAAAATAACCCAATATGCTTACTTATGTGTTTTACGACATCTACATTGGTGCCATAAAAAGGTCATTTATAGAGACCTCTCCTTCTCCCATTCCCTAAACATTTTATTGTACTGAACTTTTAAAAACTTATTCTCCAGAAATATTCCCTCCTTCCCTTTCCTTCCTCCTTAAGCATTGTTTATTTCAGCAGAATTCAAGTTGAAAAGTAATTTAGAAAATAGGCTTGTATGCTACTTAGCGGATTTCCTAAGTCATCTCCATATTTTGGGCTCTGGATTAAAGGCAAAAGTAGGTGTCCACTTTTGGGCTCCTCAGCAAAGAAAGTCATTGACACACTGGTGAGGGTCCACCAGTGTGGCCACACTGGAGGGCCACCATTGTGAAGCTAGAATGCATGACACACAAGCAAAATCTTGGACATAAGGTACAACATGAGAAAGTCTGATTAGATACAAGGGAAAACTTTTTCACTGTGAAGTTGCAAAGGTGCCCAGAGAAGTTGAGGAGTCCCCATCCTCTGAGACAATGAAAACTCAACTGGATAAGGCCCTGTGCAACTGGATCCAACCTTGCGTTGGATCCCCAGAGATCCTCTCCAACCTGAATTATTCTGTGATTTCACACTAACATCCCATATTATGTCGACAAAGTATTGTTTTACCTATCAAGGCTGTCTGGAATACTTGGGGCATAATCCCAAGTAACTTCTTCTGCAGCAATGAAATATTCCCAGTTTCTGACCATAAGACGTTCTTTATAGGAGAGACGACTCTTCTTCACCTCTTTGTCCCCACAGTCTCTTATAGTGAGGTAACCGTGCATTCCAGCTAATTGAGAAGAAACAGTACCATAGTGATTTTCCATTTTATGAACCCTTACCACTTCAACTGCACTTCTAATTTCTTTAGATAAGGTTGCCAGCAACCATTTGTTCATCTGATTGCCACCTCTTCAGGTTTGGAAAGGCTGCATCCATGTAGACTATATAAAGACTGGGAGCCTTCCAAGGAGTGAGCCCATATTAACCAAATGGACTATAGAAGCTCTCTCAAATAGCCCTCTTTGAAAATACCAGCTGAACAGATAGAAAGCTTTTTTCTTTTTTTTCCCCAAACATGTATTTCAGCTCTTGTAAGAGAGACATTTCTCTCATTCTTTAAAACAGAACTCTGATCACTGCTGAGAGATACCCGCTTTCAAATGATGAACAGCAAATGTTTTCATCAGATTGAGTGTCCCTTAGATGAAAGGGCTCAGTTTCTCAGGAAACTGATGGCTCCTTACTCATTTTATAACAGTGCTTATATCCGAACAGCTCACAGAGACTTAGAAGCTGAAGTACTGATTCACTGTTGCTCTGTAATCTGCACACAGCAGTAAAGCTGCAGATAAGAATGCCTTTTAGTTCATCATGCACTTCTCATTCCAACAGAATTTCCTGTTCTCCAGTGGTTTTAGTGAAATGACATCTGTCTGAAAGGGTAACTGTACCACTGCAAAACAGTAGAAGCCATTTGGGACAAGGAAGAGAAGGTCACCTCTACAGTTTCCTAATATATAGATGTTTCCTTGCCTTGAAGGTGCTTTTGGACAAGAGAAGATATCAGCCACCTTCCTTCCTCAACCGCTGTCATGTTTACTGTGGTTGATGCTCCTCCCACTAGGTTAACAGTAGAAACTCGGCGGTGTTTTTGCTCCATGGACTGGCCATTGATATGAATGGAGAAAATTTCTGGCTTGGAACTCATGCCTATCAAATGCCAGCTAATGTTGTCATATGCACAGGCCTCTAAATCTGAAAGAGAAATGAGAGTAGGGTTCAGAATACAGGCAAATCATGCAAGCTCCCTTTGGACACTAGGTCTGAAGTGAATATTTGCTCAAAACATTATTAAAAAAAAAAGCACAAAAAACTGACTCCTGTGATCAGTGTTTGCAACAAGAGGAAGTTTCGGAAGATTGTAAATGAAACAGATACTAAAATCCTGTGTGTCAGTGGAAGCTAAGTGTTTAAATCCTACGTGCAAGTGACAACCTGACTTATAGTGAGCTGGGGAAGGAGGAAAACCAGAAGCCTCCTTTGGAAAGCTGATTGGTCCTTGGCTGGGAGGGAGGGGGGGAAAGCAAGGATACAAGCTAAAGTTGTATCTAGTGACAGTAACTACCCTATGCAATTTTTGTTTAAAAAAAAACAACCCTAAGACAGTCTTTTATATTTCCTCAATGAACTGGACAGAGACATGAAAGTAGGTCCTTAGGAGAACAAGTGAAAAACAGTAGCAACCGAACACTCCCATTACCACCTTCCTCACCTTCCCACTTAACAGTTTAATTTAACGGGAACTGACTTCCTACTTTCAGGCAGTTCTTCACCTAGTATGTTCTATATGCTGTAAAACCAGCAGTTCACTTAACCATATCACACTCTCCCCATCAGCAGAATAAAAAAAAAAAAAAAAAAAAAAGGAGGAATTTTTTTTTTTTTAAGTTAGTAATCCTGTTCTTCAAGCAAAACTCTTCTTAGAAGTAATCTTGTTGTTCTTATCAGCAAAATGGCATGCATTCCTTCCAGCAGTACAGTTTCTCTTCTAGAATTTAGATGCTCACAGACATGTTCTAAAAAAGGCTGTATCCCATTCCTCCACATTCCTGTTCTCTTGGATAAAAGACAAAGGTAATATTCAGTCTTCATCAATGTTAATTTCATTTCACATAAACTGGAAGAGTACCTGGTAATGTTCCATCAGTATAGCCATTGATTGTGTACTTGAGTGATGCTGTTTTTTGCCAACTCTTGTTTTCATCAAACACACCAAACATCAGCACATACTCCTTGTCAAAAAGTTTCTGTGACCCATCCTCATTTAGGCTTCCTGTGAAGAAGAAACAACAGGTCTTAATTTGAAGCAGAAGTAAAGTAGTTTTCACATCAATGTGGTAGCATTAATGTGCATTTAATGAGCTTGCTTCATCTGTTAAGCATGTACTGGCTGAGCCTGACCAAAACAAGACCTGAAGAATGCTCAAAGTGATTTTTATTTACACAAGTACTTTTGGGTTAGGTAACCACAAAATCAAAAGTCTGTAATATTCCAGAGGAGATTAAACAACTTGCAATGTATTGTCTCAGACAATTCTGGCAACTCATCGTAGGGATCACCTTAATGAATGGGAGCACCAAACAGTCCTCTATCCACAATCAGATGCTGGCCTCTCTTTTGAGACTGTGAGGCAAGGAGAAGAATAGATGGCAGAGTCACCTGTAGTGTGAACACTGTCTTTTCAAGCACTACACTGAGGTCATCAGCTCCTTTAAAAAGCATAAAACCAACCACTTGACAAACAACCTTTACATACAGAAGACTTCAACAAATACTTTTGAATCAGATCAATTATAAGCAACCATCTAAGTTGAGTTTGTGATACAGGTGTGATTTCTGTCAACAAGTAGAATTAATTCTGGACATGCCACACAGAACTGGTGTGATTTTACTGATTCTTTCCATAGATTGCTCACATCAAAAACTTCCATTTGCTACTCCCAATATGTAATCCAGGATTAAAATAGATGTCCTTCTGGACTATAGGAACTAAAGATTTGGGAGCTTTCTGATTATTCTACTTAGGAAGAGACACTGGCAGTGGAAGCAGTTATCTTTAACGTAATACTTTTTACTTATGACAGGCTACAATGTCCTGTTTTTCTGCATAAACGAAGTCTCGGATCAACAGAGAAGTTTATCTGCTTGTCACACAATGAACATTCAGTCAGTGCTTTAACTCAGAAGTCTACTTCTTATAATCTTCCTAGGTTATACCACCTATGCTGCTCTTAATGTGTCAGGCTATGGTGGGTTGACCCCAGCCAGCAGCCAAGCACCCACACAGCCACTTCAATGCTTCCCCGGCTCCACTAGGACAAGGGAAAAGAATAAGAAGAAAAAAAGTGAGAAAACTTGTGGGTTGATAAAGATGGTTCAACAGGTGAAGGAAAGAAGGGAAAAAACCCAAGAAACACGAAAGAAATTACTGATCTCCCACAAGCAGACTGATGCCCAGGCAGTCTCTCAGGAACCTTGGAAGTCAACACTCCTCATTCTCTTCACAGTGCTGCTTCCTTTACCTCCAGTTTTTATTGCTGAGAATGATGTTACATGGTAGGAAATATCCCTTTAGCCAGTTTGGTTCATTTGTCCAGCTATGTCCCCTCCCAACATCTCACTTGCCCTCAGCCTACTAGGTGGGGAGGTCTGAGCAGGAAAAAAGAGAAAGTCTTGACACTGTGCAAGCACTGTCCAGCAACAAGTAAAACATGGGTGTGTTATCAACACTATTTAGCCACAAATCCAAAACACAGCACGATATGAGCTGCTGTGAAGCAAGTAACTCCATACCAGTCAGACCAAATATATGGGCATGTTGCACACTTACCACATGCAGTGCCCAGTCAAAGAAACCCTGTTCAGAAACTTTAAAATGTGAGTAGTTAGATGTTTGTCTTTGCTCTAGCTAGAAACACATGCTCAAATTGTCTTGAAGGTCGTGGTCAAACTAATCCATCTCAAACTTACATCCAACTCAAACCCGCAATATGTGCATGAATTTGAGAAGTCAGAGAAGGAAGAAAAGCAAGTAATTCCAAAGCATTTGTCCAGATTAACTCCACCAGTATGCCATAAAGTGCATGCATACACACAAACACAGAGAAAGAAACCCCAAGAAAATCAGGAAAATAACAAGTCCTAGATAATACTAAAAGCATTAGTTCTCAAAAATCTTCAGGAGGAACATATTAATACTAATGCCACTCCTTTGAGGTGATATGAGTAGGTGTTTTCTACATTTAATAGATATTTATCAGTGAGAAGAGTGCCCTTGTACAACCCACACTGAACCGGTTTTATGTTTACTTTCAGGAAAGCCTCAAAGTCCAAGTCCCTGCAGTCTATACAGAGTGTCTGACTCAAACTGCAGGGGAAGAGGATCAAGCTAAATAAGTCACAGAGCTTTCACTAAAAGAAGGATATATAACTTGGAAAAATTTAGTATTTAAGGGACCAACAAGTAGTTTAAGTACTATAGTGGCATGCTGTTTCACACTTCCCTCAAATCAGTGGCATGTACCTAGCACTTGTTTACAAGTCCTACAAAGCACCAATTTGTATCAATGGAGGTGGAATTCAGTGACTCCAACTGCTAAAATCTCACGTCCCTGATCACATGCAAAGCCATTTTTAAAGACTTATAATCTGTTCAAATTTGGCCGTATTTTCAAATGACTAGTAAAATACACACTGCTCTGTGATTTCAAACCCTTGTTACAAGAGTGTGTGCTACAGCCTCTTGATCAGACAACCTTTAAAAGGCATGGGTAAACCAGTTATTTCCTGCCTTACTTTCTGGAATGGCTGAATCATTTTGAACAAAGCTTTAAAAAATATTTTTTCTAAGACAGGAAATTTGAGGTCGTATATTTAGCAGTTAAACAACTGAAAATGCAACCAGTGCAGGCAAATGTATCTATTAATAGCACTCTCTCTGTCCATCCTATAATTATAGGATGGAGATGCATGAAAGCTCCATTTAAAAACTTTAACATTGAAGAGAAAGATGTTGAAAACCGTTTACTTTACACTGCATGTAAAGATGTGAAAAGGAAAGTAACATATCTTCCCTCAATATCATACAACCTTAACTTTATTAAGAAATGACAATGTATTATTATCTTACAGTAGTTTTAAAGTATTTCATTACCTTTCTTACAGATAAGCAGTGCTCCAATCAGACCAGAGTTAAAATCCATTGCCATGTTCTCATGAGAATAATATGCATAAGTAAGACAAGGAAGGTCAGCTTCTCTTGGACCAACTTCTTCTGTTATATCCCACACATATGTGTAGACCTGGCCTGGAAGTACAGCATCATCTCGTTTTTCTGCAGATGATGTTCTATCATCATACAGGGAGCCTGCCAAGAAAAGAGTCAGTAGGGTGGCGTGAAGACAAAAGAGCAATTAAAGCATCTGCAGTGTCCTCCTACAATTCAAAAAGCTTGGTTTGTTTCTTGCCTGTATGATACTTCATCTTCAAAGAGACAACTACTCATTCAGCTCACAATGTGGAGAGTAGCACAGGGGAATGCAGCTATTCCACCACCCTGTTTCTTACAGATTAAAGATTTTCTAGAACTGTCATCACTGCCAAAAGGTGGGGCTCTTCACCATTCTGACTGGGGTTAGGATGGCATGAAGCTTCAGCCTCTGCTCACTGATACTCTGTGGAGGAAGACTGCCCACTTTGTCAATTTTCTAATTGTCTCATAAAGCCACTGCACAGGCTAGCATTGCCTTGTTGCCTTAGACCTTTTGTGCACTGCATATCCAGATGGCAGTAATGGCTCATGTCTATGCTTGCCATATCCAACAAATCTGCAGTATGACTAAGGGGAGTCAGAGGATCAAAATCCTAGGTGCAAAAGGCACATCAATAAGACAGTCAAACTGAACTGCCTATCACTTCCAATAACGTGTTCTGTTCAACTCCATTAGATGAGGTTGCAAAACTCTTTTTGTACCAAGAAAAGCCTTTTGTACAAAGCCTTGAATAAATTTGTAAACCGCAGGTCAGAGCTCTGGCTCAGCATCCAGGGCAGAGCAATCCATGAAGCACAGGCCATCAAACTCAAGCTGTGGTAGTGCAGACATTTAACTGTCAATTTGGTCACATTTTATGATCTCTTTTTGCTAGTCTCATGAGGGTTCCAGGAGCAAAATACCACAAAGCTGTGCGTGAAATCCTGAGTATCAGAACAACATGATCAGCACTGTCAGCTGGCTTTACCAATAATGCATTGAGGTATGCTATTGCAAAATATTTGGAAAATATTTTTAAAAGACCTGTATTTAAGAGTTTACATGTCCTGAAGAAATAGAATAGTTTACAACTACATGGAGGTTGAATCAGATGACCTCCAGAGATGCCTTCTGACCTCAACCACTGATTCTGTGAAACAATACTAGCACACAGGCAGCTGGTCAGGAAACTGTGTATGTCAGATGACACTCGTATTCCTACTGTTACACTGATGAACACGAAAGGAACTAACAACGGGTGTAAAGTTTTACTCCAAGATCAACAGATATTTGTGTTACACATATCCTCAAACATTGGTCTGGGCCCCTCTCAGTGTTTCATGTAGTAGTCTACAAGTAAATGAACAAAACACGGAGTTTTTACAATATTTACCTTCAGTATTTTTGCTGTAAACTATGCCTTGGGGATGAATACTGACTGGCTTGTCAGCCATATTCCTAAGGTGAACTACTAAAGTATCTCCCACTTCAGCACGCAGAGTTGGTCCCAGAAGTCCTGTAGTTATTCAAGATAGAGAGAGGATAATGTGAGCAAAACAGTATGTTTAGTGAAGCAGAGTTCTCTCCCCCCATTAGGAAATGTGAGCTCTCAAAATACAAGTTGCAAAATTAACATAGGCAGAGAACGTAACATCACTGTAATGAAGATTTACCTGTAAAAAGGCACATGGGGATTTAAAACCTGGAGCTCAGAGTCAAGAATGTTATAAATTGTGTATCTGGCAACTAGCACTTAAAAATCACAGGAAAATGGTATATTTGGAAAAAAGTTATTTTCAAATACAGAAAATTTGTCAAAAGGTTCATGTTGAGGTTCATTGGGAATTTCTAGGAATCCTTCACATACAATTTAATTCAATAGTTTTAGGAAAGCAGACATCTTACAATTTAAGAGTTTAGAGAAATGCATCCAAGCATATATCTTTGAATAGCACTCTCAATGCCAGATGTCACAAAACAAAAAGAACTTTCAATCTCAAGATATTATCCAAAGAAATAATCAGTTCCATGTTGCAAATTTCTTGAGGCATAGCGTGTAAAAGGTTTCAAGGGGGACTTGTATCCCTACTCCCCATGTTGCAAAAATAAGCAGTGGAAGAAACCTGCAAAAACCACCTTTGGTTTGTTAGTCTCTTTCCTTGAAAATTATTTTGTAAATTTCTTTATCTGAACAGATAGAAGCAGTTTCAGAAAACACAGGGGAACAAACAAAACTGGAAGGAATCAGATCATAGACTTTTCAGGGCAACTTGTCACAATTTCATATCAGCAATCTCACACACATTTACTTTGAAATCTAAATCTGAACATCTAACATCTGAAGTTACTTTATCTATTAATATGAAGCACAGATAAACTATATAAGTACTCTGCATAAGTATGAGAAGTACCATACTTATGTATGGCATAAGTACAAGAATTTGCCTCCATCCATTTAAAGTGTCTTCACGCAGTAAGAGATGCAAAGGCAAGGGACTATCTTCCACACCCAACCTCATAGCTTTGCTTTTCCTTTCCACTGACCTATCAGGAATACAGTTAGCCTCAGGCCTTAAGCTCCTTCTGTTTGAATTTATAGTGTCACCATTGTGACCGTGCTGTACAAGTCTAAATGTGCACGGGAAGTCTCATCAGCTGCTGAAAACAAAGGGAACGACTCTGTACTGTGCAATTAATTTGCAGATAGGACTGAGCCCCAGCTGCTGAAAATCCAACCTTTCTGTGGCCTTTGAAAGCCTAGTGCACTGCAGAGACCCCACCCCCATGCCTATTTGATTTATGTGCAAATCAGTGGACACAAAAATACAAGCTTGCTTAGCTTGTTACTGGCTTTGTAACAAACAACAAACAAAAATACTCAGAACACTTGCTTCCTGTTTACCTGAAAATATATTTGCTGGCTTTTCTTTTTTAAAATCCACTTCATATTCTCTGTAAGAAATTTTCTTAAACACAGGATCTGAATGTTCCAATCTGAAACCAGAAGAGTTACAAGAAAATTTAAAAAGATAAAGATACCCAGAGATGTCATTGCTGTTTAATGGATATGTCAGAAAATGAATCCTGGAATTACATTTAATCATTTGCACGTTTTGCTGAAGGCAAGGCACACAGTACAACTCTTTGTAGTATCTTCCCCTTTCCTTCTTACTCTATTGAATCTATGATGTTCCCAAGCTAGGACATTTCATATTAGATGTTCAATTACAGTACCTAGCACAGTTTACACCTGACTTTGCTGGTGATTTCTGTAGGTTCTTTTGATTCTGTGATGAAGATGTCTTGTTTTGTCCATTTAGGACAAAGGAAAATGTCTTGACCATGCCTAACTTAGAAATCACATGACAAAACATAGTGAAAGAAACCTGAATTTCTCTTTACTCAGCCTCATACTTGAACTTCAAGAGGCACCACAAGGACTCTACAACAGCATTAACAGCAAACTCCTGTATCAGCAATGACCTTGGGGGCAAGCACAAAACTGTTCCCTGACAACAACTAAGGACCTCACAGCAAGTCAGAAAATTGCTTTCTAAGAAACTCTGCAAGTGTCCTTAGTCTTGTTAAGTAGATGAGTCAGGCACCCAGTAGACCACACAATGTTTTCTTAGAAAATACTTAGACAAGCAGAAGGAAACCAGCACACACCACTTCTGGAACAGAAGTGATGATGACAAGAGGGCTGGAGCTAAATAGCTTGTATTTAGTTTTACATTGACTGGTTGATTTCTTATAGTATGTATAATGACTGGATCCAACAGTAATTCCACCTGCTTTTTCTGTAATGCCCTTTCAGGCACTTTTGATAGTGGGAAGCTGATGGGCTGCTCAAGCATAGAGGCTGGGCAGAGAGAACAGTGAGCTCGCTTCAGTGACATCCAGGGTCCATAAGGGGGAGATCTCTTTTCATAGAGATCTTTTGTAAATTCTTCTGCAACACTCTCACAACAGAAGAGTCAGGCAGAAGCAGTTCGTGTTTCAATTAATTCCCCTCTCTTTAAAGTCACTGATAAAATTGTTTCACTCTTTAAGGAGTAGGACCTGATCCATAAACTTCATTGACAAGTGCTGCTGTAGTATGGCAATGTTCAGTAGAATGCGCACATAAGACTATGGGTCACAAGAGGAAATTTTTCACTGTAAATTATACAGCTGGAAAGAACAAAACGTATAGCTTACTAACACTTCAGACATCTCAGACTGTGCAAGCTGGTCTAGTTAGGTAACTTTTGGGAACGGCAGCAGCAATGCTGCATGCACAGATAATACGTTTTCATTTTGCTCTGAAGTGCCTTATAAATATCATGTGTACATGGTAACAAATCTCAACAAAGACAAGACACTCAAAGAAGTGTCATTTTATAGCCTGTATGATTGGAAAATTAAGGAAATAGTTCAGGAAGAACCCATGTTCTTTTCAGCCTCTTTTCAGTTTTTTAGAACCAACAGCAGCAAAGTATCAGGTTCTTACACTGTACTGAAATCAGAGCAAGTTACATACCAAATGCCTTTGGGATCCAAGCCATTAGCTCTTCCTTAGTGAGCACCTCTGTATTGGTTTTGGGGTTTTTTTTTTTTTTTGAGTTGAATTTCTATAAACTCTACAAAGCTCATCAGACCCATTTGGGATGTGACTTTCTTTAACTACTTATGTGAGATATTTCAATAGGCACTGTGTATGAGAAACGCCTAGCTAATCCCAGAGTATTTCAACTGAGGTTTAAGGCAGTCTTGTGGGTTCCTACTGCACGAAAACAGTCTATTCACACTGTAATGCTTAATGAAACAGCAGTTGATGCTTATATTGATGGATTCAGTGCAGATGAGAATGAAGTTCTAACTACTAAATTCACATGCTTGCATCAATACTTAAATGGCATTTGACTTCATATTCCTACATTTAAATCCTGTTTTCATCTGTACTGCCAGTTTGACATTACGCCTATACCTGTTGTATTAAACCTGCAAGGGGAGCTTTGGAAATCATAGAAACTTTGTTTCAATTAAGTCTTGAAAAAAAATAGGTAGAAAGTCTAAATCTGAACTGGAAAAGTCCCTTCCATAACATCCAGAAATGTAATATTTAAAAAAAAAAAATCACAAACTACACAAAAATAAACCAGCCATCCACTATATAAGAAAAATGCAGTAGTATCCAAATATACTCTTCAATGTAGGAGAAGTAATTTGTACCATTTTATGCCATTTCATGAACAAATAAAAGCTGTGTATGGTGACTATAGTGAACACAGCATAAAAATTAAGACTAATTTAAACAGAATTCTAAATTACACCCAAGTTTTGTTATTTGTAGCATTGCACTTGCAATGTTTATTATCCTAGGGATAATATTGGTAATGCACATAAGATATTTTGTATGCTTGAGTTACATATACATATAGGCTGGCCATTCTGCAATGCTATCTGAAAAAAAAAAAAAATTAGTATTTTCACTTAATGAAGTATAGAAATGATTGCTCCTACAAACTTTACTCGGCAGAACTCAGGATGGACATTTCACGGAAACTACTGAACAACTCAAACAACATAGCTAGTTCCAAAGTTCATCAGCCTCTGATTTAAGTGAAAGTGAGAGTATCCAAATGAGAACATATTTATTCCTTCAGCAAATTCTAAAGTCTGAAAGTTTTCAAAATCTTACCAAACACGGCTGAATTTAATATTGCTCAAAACATATATACCTAAAATAATTACATTAAAAAAGCCAAACATCAGCCCACACAGATGATAAAAGCAAGCCCTGGAACAAATTTACAAACGTGCTCTGAAAACATAAAAGTAATTCTATCCACTAACGAAGTAAATAACAAGGAGCTTTTAATACTTCACTGGCTCCAGTTCAGATCATGCTGTTTAAAGTCACACAAGTTCCTCTGAAGTCAACAGATCAGGCTCTAAAGTCCTCCTGGGCTCTAAAATTCCACAGGAGATGGGAGACATAAGACACTTTCAGTCACAAGACTAGTTTCATTCTTCTCATCCTGTACGTTGTTACCTGGACTTTTCCTCAGATTCCGGTTTGTAGGTCCAGCTAGTGATCTGTGCAGCTATATAGTGCTCCCTGACCTTCACAGCTCCCACCACATGCTTCTCTGAGTCTGGCCACCATGAACCAAGCAGAAGCAAGAGAAAAAGACGTGTGCAGTGGAGCGTCATGGTACAGATGCCTGCTGATGCTGCTCTGGAAGACAAGGCAGAAACTGCTGCTTTTATTGCTGTTGCTGCTTCTAACTTCCCCTCAGAAATGAAATAATTGTGATGCAAGAGGGTAACAGCATTTGCTATGCTCAGGTCATTGCTCTTCACCTCCTCCTCCCCTTGCTGACAGGGATCCAACAGAGAGAAAAAAAAAAAAAAAACCAAACCTGTTTAAACTACCTTCCCTCCCCTCCTCCACACCATCTTCAGTGAGACACAAGCACCAAGGAGAAGCAGCTTCAGTCCCACTACAGACTGTGGTCGGGTCATTGTCTACCAAAGCAGCAGGATATCTGAGACAGAAAACAATTACTTAGATGACTTACAATTACAGGATATTTGAGTTGCATAGTTAGGAAGAAGCGGGTATATTTTCCATCTTCCCAGAAAACAGAAACCCAGCACGTGGCTGGCACTGATGGAAATTTCCCAGTTAGATGCTACATCCCCTAAGAAATCATTCCCAGTTAGAAAGCAAAATGCTAAGGGATTAGGTGTGGGGACTAGAAGAGCTAAACCTAGTTCAACTCTAGTACTTCATACTCATAACAGTAATCCAGTAACCTTTCCAAACATGTTGTCAGCTTCAGTTTGGTTTCTACTACACTCTCAAGTATCCCAGGTACTGGATAATGAACTGGCTTCTCAGTGGCAGGTAACAGGTCAGCCTGAAGACTTACCCACAGGCAGAATTCTTCCAATCTAGTATTGATTAGGATCTGTTGACATTTATCTAAGGAGAAATGATTAAGAAAATACCTTTTGATAAGGTAATTCCCCATGTCAATTATATCACCAAAAATGTTTCCCTGCTTTTGCTAGTGCTGAGTTTGTTGAAACCACAAGTAAATTGTTGAGTGTGTTTCCCATACATTGGGATTACTGGAAAAAGAAAAATCCCAACCTATTTTTTTTCCATGGACGGAAGATCACAACAACTTTTTCAATACTGCTTTGCTAATGCTTTAATGAAAAAAGTTACTTAAAAACCCAAATCAAAATAATTCCACTCCAGATCCAGACAAAAATAAGGACATTTCCTCAGACTACTTCAAAAGAAAACCTGATCTAGGTTTGATATATTGTTCAACCACAGAAAGGTCTAACTGGCAGCTTGTTTAATTCTGTCCAAACTATATAGTACCATGTCGCCTTAGAAGAGATAGGGAAAATGGTTGGAAGAAACTTAAAAACCAATAGCTGAATGGTCCCTACCAAATTCAAAATAGTTTGGTTCCTAAACCTGAAAACAGTCATCATCCCTTGGAAAGCGTAAGACTATAGATATCACGAAACAGTTTCAAGGCAGTAAATTGAATTTAAATTACATCCTATTACATCTGGCTGGAGTTAATCACTTGTTCTCATGAGCCATTTTGACACATACATTATGTATGAAAAGGATTCAAAACCCAGAATCCAGCAACAATTACGCTGGACTAGAAAGCATGCACTGATACTGAAGACAAAATTTTAGGTAAACACAGTCTGATACTATTTCATTACTAATTGATTATTGATTTAAAAACTCACCATAATCCTTGGTAAACTAGTCCAATAATTTTTAATAAAAAAATACAATATATATCTCATTTCCACTCTGGTCCCAATCTCATCTCTGGCTCAGGATCTATTTCAGTGCTGGTGCTTAAGACTTTGATAGTTGGTGTGAAAATGCATATAATTTAGATTTTATTAAATAAATCTCTGAGCAGATAGACAATTCCTTCCTTCAATCCACAACTGATGGGAAGCAGCTGATGCTGAAATGCCTGGCACACTATGTTAAACCTAAACCATCTTCACTTTTAAGTTAGCTTGTCTCATCTCCAGGTCTTCAACATTCATACAGGAGCACACAGAAAATATCATGCATCCTTATAAGAACAGAAACTGATTGATGTTTGAGTTCAATCTATACCGATTGGGCTTTACAACACTGTTCCTAAAGCTCAATCCCATACAGGGAATTGAAGACCTTGTGTATTTATGTGACTGGCTGAGGAGATGAAATTAAAATACATTTTAAACAAGTCTTCCCATAATTCTGTTTAATGAACCGAGTATTTGAATTTTCCATTATAGGTTTCTAATACTTAATTCTTCCCTGTAATAAAAGCTGAAGTATTGCAGGCTAAAAGTAATACCCAGAATACCTGCTTAAAACCCCTTGCTTTGTGACTGTGAGCTGGCAATCATCAAAGCTGATATCAATGAGTTAATTTTCTTTTATCCATTTTGATGAATTTGGGAGTTGTCTTTTTCAAATTTTTTTAGCCAAGGAATTGTGCAGTACCAATCAAATGGTAAAAGGAATTAAAAAATGCATTACATCAGTAAAATTACTTTTACAAGGCTGGCCGATAATACTGATAGTTTTAAAGAGTATCAAATTAGATCAGATATACTTTCCATTAAGCAACATGGATTAGCATGTATTACCCTTCTTTAATACTTTAAGAACAAAAAGTCCAATATTGACTACTCCCTTCTCATCTTCCTGCACCTCTTAGAATCAATGTTAAGACTGAGCCGCCTGAAATTATCTCAGTCAGCCTGGGATTTTTTCTTTTTTTCTTTAAGCTAGTGCATTAGATTGTCTTCTCTAGGTTTTGGGAAGTTTCACAGTGTTCTGAAAATCATTATTAATAATCCAAAGATCTTGTTCCCTTTCACCTGGCCATTAATTTCTAATATGTGCAATTATACCCTCTGTCTGACATGGTGGAAGTCTAATATATACCCAAAATTTTTTTAGTTAGCATTGGTTGCCTACAAGCTATTACTATTAGTCAGGTGACAAGTGACTACAGAATACATTACTCAGGCTGAAGTCTTCCAAGACAATGCAAATTTATTGTCTATTCATATATATAGCCATGATCTTAGCTTATTCTACTTCACAACACTGCAGATGCAGCAAACTTCCTATTTTTGTCTCATTACTTACCCACGTGCTCAAATGTAATTTACATTTGGTCACCAGCAACATCAAAAGATCTTGTGGGCAAAAGCCATGCAGGGAGGAGCATCGGTCTAGTCCATACTGGCAAAACAATCTCTGCAGCACAATGAACAGTGTTATTCCCAAAATTAAGCAGTAGCTTTGGATGTACTGATAGTGAAATGCCAAATGAAAAGAAAGCGTGGAAAGAATAAGCAATACTTTTTAACATTAAAATCTGGTCTGCATCTTCTAACTGGGGAAGATTGCTGTCTATTCTGACACTCAGTAACAATGGTCTTGTTTCGTTGTTATGCTATACGTGAAAACATACTGAAAGAGTATACTCAAAATATTGCTCTAATGCTGACCTTTAAAACTAACTGGGATTGCCAATTTTCCACCCGTAATAGCCTAGGCCTGAGTCTGAGCAATCAAGAACAGATAACTCTTTAAAAGAGCTGTAAAAGTGGTAATTTGCAACTTTCTGCAAATTATATATTAAGACCCACCATAAACTTGGTTCTACTTTATCACAAACACTCTCCTAAATGCTAGCAGGCAGCCAAAACTGATGGCAGCTATCAGGGTATAACAATTGTATTATAGTGACTGAGAGGGAGCTAGTATAGACAAATTGTAAAACAGTTATTGAATTGGTGGCTAACAATGCCCTAACATAGATCAATCTCATTCAAACACACAAATCAATGCACAATGGTCACGCAAGCATATTTTGTTTAATGCAGGGTGAAAGGACTTTCATGGGCAAACAAGGAGTTAATTATTGATCAGCAGTGAACACATCGTTCTGAAGTAGATAAAAGCCAGAGGGTGCACTTACCAAATCTGCCAGACACAACTCGGAACAGAACCCATCAGATAAATATCTCCACTTCTGCAAGAAGGCACTAAAGCCAAGAAAGGTTAATCTGTGAAACAGCTCATTTTAGAAGTTTAAAGTAGATGTACTGTGTTGAAAACCACATGAGCAGGCAAAAAGAAGAGATGGAAGAGAAACTCAGGCTTTCTTTCAGACAACAACTTATTCAGGAGGAATACATATATGCATTTAGTATTTGATGGCAACTCATTTAAGAGCAGATTCTGCACAGTTGTTAAAGGCAGGCAGGCTGTGGCCCTTGTGTGGTCAAACACACACTACAAGGCAGTAAGAATGCAGAACAGCATTTCAGACTGTTGGTGCTAAAGGATTCAGAAGATACATAATCATGTTGATTTAAACCTAAATACATTAACATGTTTTAAACCTGTATTTTTCCTCAGGAGAAAAGCAATTCTCGATTAGAATTAGGTGTTTCTCCAGTCCGTGTTTGCCAAAACCACTTATTTAGTAGGACCTAAAATTATTTGCACAGGAATGCTGAATTCAATAAACAGTTTCAGAGAAAAAGAAGTATGATTTTCTAAATATTGTAAAATCTAATTTCAGTGCTTTAACAAATTTGTCTAAGACCACTATGAAAAAATTCATTTTAAGGAACAAAGAGAGGAAGATACACTAGCTTCCTCTCTTCAAAAGCTATGTCAATAACATCTGACTCAAAATTTTGGACTGAACCAAAGGAAGCCTTTTTTTCTCTGTGTGTTTAATTTTTGCCAGAAAATTTTCAGTTTGGCTCCGCAAAGAATTTTGCGCCCACTCTAAACTGTTTGTGTTCTCTGTGTTCCAGTTTGTCTTCTTTACTACAGAGATTTCTTTATTTGCCCAGGCTTACAACTGACACGCTAAATCAGACCAGCTGTCCTCATGCTAAGTCGGACTAGCAGCATATTCAGCTTGGATTTCTTTCTGTAGAGAATAAAAGTAGTAAGAATATCAGTGCCCACAGCACAATGTTAAGCAGGTGGTACAGGACTGCGAGAGTTTGCAAGTAGGAAGATTTGCATCTTTTTATCATAAATCCTTGTTGGAACTGAAAGTGGACTATCAAAAGAGAGCCTCTTCATGAGTTGTATACATACCTACTTCCAACAATAGATATGATACCGTGGATTAATTAACTTTTTATTCTCTCATATGGTTGCATCTTCTACATCCAGGTATCTTTTTCATTTTTTTTTTTCCTTATTTTTTTAAAAAATTACACTTTGAACAATTCTTATAAGTTACTAGCAGAGAAGGTTATTTTCCAACAGGAAACAAATAGGTTTCAGGAAGAGTCATGAAATCAGTAAGCTTTTAGCATAGTAAGACACTAAATTACATCTGTCCATACGGACTTTACAACATTGAAGGAAATCTACTTCTCTAGCAATAGATCAGACTGTTTGTTAGCAAGCTGGTTAAACAAGCTCCACTTTCCCACACTTAAAATTACAGCCACAGGACGACAAAGTTGAAATTGTCCTCATTCTTTAACACTATTCCCACCCTTCGTTATTTATAGTTCAGGCTTCGATTAGACTTTTAAAAGACTAAATACATAAGTGCACTTCCCATGTATTGCTTGGAAGTTACTGATTTGAATTTCTCTTTTTTTTTTTTAATTGGAAACAAGTCTTTTTTGTATTTTAAAAGTATTTAATGAAAATTGAGGACTAGGTATCTTAAGTTTGACAACAGAACTTGTGATGGTCATTATCTTAAATCTCTGTAAGGTTATTCCCTTTATATCATAACTCATTCCCCTGTGCATAACTTTGGTTCAGATACAGTGGAATCAAAACTTCAGCCACGTCTTCACTGCATGCAGCACCTCTAAACTAGAATGTACTCAAAGTGCAAGATCAAGAGATAGATATCTAGAAGGCAAGTCAAGAGCCATGAGAACTGTAAGATGTGCAGTAGGAAAGGGAACCCAGTGGAGCAGAACTTCTTAGGAGCTATTTTGATGTAGAGGCAAAATTCAGACAATTAATGACAATGTAGGATTTGCCAGAAGCTATAAGCAAGGTTACTGTCTTTGCATATGTTTATAGCAGTTCCTACAGCAGCAATCCTCACTTCCAACAGGAATTAATACTACTCCTGAACAGAAGAAAAGGATTAACGTACAGTACAACTGCTGCAAGTGTACCTAGCTCAAATTTGCTTGCTCAGGTACAGCCACCTCAACATCCAGCCAAGCAGAGCACCACACATTAGTCACCAAACATCAGGTTTTATGATACTAGCTATTTCTGTGCTACAAACGCCACAAGTCATTAAATATCATGGTGCTGATGGAAGCCATTGGCAAATTCTCTTTAGTTTCGCTGCTCCTCTGTTCTGCTAGAGTCAGAGAAAAAGGCCTTCATCAGTTTATACTTTAAGAAGAATAAAAATCATGCCACTTAGTTCTGTCAACAGTCTGACAAAGAAGAATCTGGTATTTGTCAACTCAATATACTAGAGACCAGTGAAAGACTAATTCACCTTCCTGAAGGAGCAGAATAGACACTTTTAGGCAGAAGGATGTTTCAAAAGAATCTGACAGACCAAAGAAAAAAATAATATACATCACTGCTGGTTATTTTAAGTCATACTCCCTCTTTACTCCCCTCCAAAATCCCCTATTTGTTGGGTGGAGGACAGCTACTTCCTTTGTTACCAAAAAGCCCAAAACATTTTTGAGATTAGTCTGATAGGGAAAATCTTATGGCATGACTCAGTGGGTGTGGTTAAATTTTAACAGGTTTCAGCTAGCATTACTCTTCACTTATATAGACATTGCTTAAGATGTCCAAGAAAGAGGAAGTGAAGATAGTATCAAAAGAGGAAAGCCAATTTAAGCATCATACACAGAACTTGATTACAGGCTCTCATGTAAGTAACAGTATGGTAGAGAGGACAGCCAGGACAGGAACCAGTTGTGCCAGGACAGGGACCAACCTTCCCACCCAACAGTAAATTCAGTCAGCTGCAGGCACCCAGCTTCAAATTACCTCGCAGAATGCAAGTTGGGTGTTTGGGAGACAAAGATGCTGTCCTGAAAGCTAAACAGAGTTTCAGTGAACCTAATAAATATGAATAACGCACACCACACCGCAGCCCCCCCATATATATATATAAAAAAATAAAATCTATGATGGTCCTTTCCTCCCATTAACAAAAAACATTTTACAGGGCAGAAAGTGGCTACTAAAGCCTGGATACATCTGCAATGGTTGAATCCATAAACAACTCCATGTACATTTACCCTGAAAAGAAAACCATGCTATTAGACTACCAGTTAGTGCAGCCAAGGCAGACAAGTAATCAAGATTGAACCTTGCTCTACCATAGTAACCTTCTCCCTTTACCACCAAGCTGTAACTTTGTAAGACTTGTTGCCTTTATTACAAGATAAATAGACTACATACTAATATTCCTCCTTTGTCTTCCCAAAAATTCCATCTCAAAACACTAGTCTTGCTCGAGTGTAAATCTAAATCACCTTTCAAAGATTGGTTAGTTACAGCTATTTTAGTTTAAGATGTCAAACTTTCCTAACAAGATGACCACTTATTTTCTTTCAGCTTTTAAAATCCTCCTCCAGCTAGAGGAAACATCACCATTCATAACTGGGAAAAAAACCCACGTAACTCTCAAGAGAATTTAAATGGGATGAAAAAAATAACAAAAAAATTGCACATTTTCAGAAATCAGCAATGAAGCCAGAAGCATTAGAATTCTACTAGGAAAGCAAATTTTAGCTTCCGATATAGAGAAAAATAGTCTTCTTTGAAAGGAAATTGAAGGAATTATGGAAAAAAAAAAATCCCATCTCTTAGTGCAGTGTCTGTATCGGAATGAAAGTGATTTATTTATATTACACACACAGATTTTTATTAAAAAGGCTGGTAATGGAACATTTTATTTTAATGCATCAACTTGATAAAAGGTTAGTTACAGAAATTGTGTATAATGTTGTATAAGTCACATGAATGGGTTATTTAAAAAAAGATTTGATAATTAGAGGAGAACATCTCTTATTTTAGTTACATTGTAAAGTGCCTCGTGTAGTCATATTCTATTGTTGGAATGACCGCCTGTACAAATTTCAAGAAAATAAGAAGGTACCTGAGTTTCTTGTTAAGGAAAACATGCAATAGCTAGAAAAAAGCAGAAGTCACATTCAATGGTCTGCTCAACAGAATTTCTTGCTAATAGGAAATTAACACCTAGTAATTATACAGTTAGAGACTGGGAAATGAATACAGCAGAACTCTGGTAATGACATTCGATGCTTTCCCAAACCTACAGACCTCCCTGTTTTAAGTAAAAGCAGGGAACCAGGCGTTATTTTCAATCAATCTCACAAACATGGCACAAACATTTACAATCCCATTTACATACTTAATATTTGTTATTAAAAAAAAAAAAACAAACAAGGTGAATTGCACCTAGCAAAGCTAATCCCTAGCTACCTAGTTGCAGGGAAAGCAGGCTCCTCCTCAGTGTTTCAGTGGCTCAGAAAGAGAAATAGGTTCCTGTTCTGAACCATCCTTTGAAAGAGCTCCTACCTGTTGACGAGGGAAAGTAAAGAGATTAACTTTGATAAGTTGAGAAGTCTGCCTTCCTCGTTTCCTTTGTGTATACCATCTTCAAATGCATGCTGGGCCTCAATCTGCATTTTGGAGTATATTGGATAATTATAAACTAAAGTGTCTGTCCACCTGGGACTGAGGCAGAGAGCAAACTGAAAAATTAAAATAAACTACCACTTTCTACTCATAATTAAGTTACATTGGTACTGGATATAAGTAAACCCTGCTATTTTGGCATGTCAGTCTCATGGACCATTTCTTGGTAAACACAAACTACATAATGAGGGAAGAAATTGCCTGTTAAGACCCTCTTAATTTGTTAAGCAATAGCAAAAAAAGTAATCAAAATCTTGAAAAATAAGCTTTTTCCGAGTAGAAGACTTGAACTATCTTGACAAGTTAGTTTCTGGTGCTTGCTGCACAAATTGAGCAAGTCAACTCATATAGGGAAAGAGAATTTTATTGATTCGGGGCGTATAGCTGCTCAGTAATCCCCCCTTGCTTGCCTTATAGCAGCAAAAGAACACAATTCTGATAGGACACACTTGCTTCTCACATGGAGATTACTTCAGTCAGAAAGCATAGTATCAATTACTACTAAGCATAACTAAGACCAGTTAAAAGAAAATTCTAATTGAGAGGCATTTGATATTGATGTTCAGAACGATTTCAGTAATTGTAATTGCTTTTTTGTCAGCCAAATGTTTTATCAAGATATTGCTCACATGCAGAGTAGAGAATAATGGAATCTCTACACCTTTCAGAAATGGATCTCAGATTCACATTTAATACAGAAGCTGCTGTACCAAGAGGAGGGATTACACTCTGGCCAGGGTCTGTGAACCTCCAGCCTCATTATCCCCCACTGGGATCTCAGTTTCATACTCACAACTACCTCCTTCACACTCCTACAAACAAGGGCTCAATCCTGTCCCTTTAATCCTACCTCCTTTCCCCACTGCTTCTGCCACTCTCCCCCCCAGCCCTCCCAAAAACTGATTAGCAGACTCTGTCTGCACAAAGGAGCTCATCCCAGAACTCTAGTAAGTGCTACCACAAGCACTGTTTACTGCTTTCACACACAACTGCATTCCGGTTTAGGAACCCTGAGGTAACAGCTCCGTATACTGCAAGAAATCTTTAAGAATACTGTGTATTAATGCAAAAGGATACATGTGAACTCCAAGCTCTCCCCCACCTTCTGCAACAGTCTCAATTATTTTCTTCATGACTTCTGCATGCCTGAAAAACAGATCAGAAACAGTGAAAATATTTTAAGGAAAAAGTAACTCCCTTTTCATCTCAATAAGACTAAGTTTCATGCAAATTAAGTAGTCTTAGACTGTTAGGTTCAGAAGCAACAAGAGGAAACTTTCAGTTTACTGAGGAAAAAAAAAAAAAAACAACAGTAACTGAAAGTTAATATTAAGTGATGAATGTAACATCATGTGCCAGATCCTTACATTCACAAGGAAAGCAAAAAATGTTCTATGCTACAACATAGACTGAGTGCCATGAGAGTCAATACATATTGTTTGTCACTAGTGTAATTGTTAATTGCTAAATGCCAAAGAAGCCACCACATAAGCCCCCAGAAGGTAATCCTCACCAGCAGTAAGCCACCAGAAGATGCCTAGAAATTGCTGCAACTTTTTTAGCTACCTGTGCTGCACTCTTAAATTTGGAGAATTTAAGAGGTATCAAACAGTTAAACAATTCATAGTTTCCTAGCGAAGGCATCCAAAACCAAAGCCATATAAATTCAGAACTGTTGTTCTGGGACTGACTTAGGGTATGGAAACTTCCTCTGGTGGTAACTTGGGTTCTATGAAAGATCAACAGTTTCTAAGCTAGATTCTCTCTCTTGACTGTTATTGTAAAGCAATACAGGGGAGGACAAACATTTCCTCAGGTCACTGTGGTTGACATTAAGTTATCAGTGAAATACCAGATGTACTATGAACCACACAAACATTTGTGTATGAAGATGATCCTGGGAACATAACATGGAATCACAGAATAGCTAAGGTTGGAAGAGAGTGGTCATCATCTAATCTAACCCTCCTTGCTCAATGAACAGTAAACTAGAACAGATTATTTTTAACACAAACTCCCAGGTTGTATAACTCATCTTACTTTCATCTATATTTCAACTTTGTTTTAAATTCATGATTCTGTAAGCAATCTTGATCAGTGATATCATATAGGGCTATGGACATCCACCTGCACAACACTGCCAAGCTGGTTAACAGCAGTAGTTTAAAATACTTGTCCTGAAACAACCTATGTGCCTACTGAGAACCAGGAAGAGTGGTAAGCAGAGTTTGCCTAACTTTCTGACCATGCTTTGATACCATTATGCAAATCTAAATAGCTGACCAGTAACTGGCATTTAGTAGTTACCTCCAAAGTTAATCACGCTGCCAGTGACTGCAAACACAAGGAAGGAAGCTGTTGCAAAGTTAGCAAGACACACTGTAAACAGGAACACGCAAGTCTGGGGAAATACTAAAGGTCAGCATTTGCCATTTGCTGTGCTGTTGGTCTTTGCAAATGAGGCAACCCTCACAGCTGATTCCAATTCTGGATCCTCACGATCCCGCCCCAACAGAACACATACCATATCAGGTGCCAAGGCCAGTTGCTTCTATATAGGGACCTGGCCACTGTCGAAACTTAAGCTTTGACCTCACCCATAACCGTGGGCTATTTTTCGTACTGGCACAGAATACAGGTCACCCTACAGCTATTAGAAGTCTTCAACAAGATACTGGCTCAACTTCATACATCTTAATGACATTTGTTCTTTTCTGTTTTCTAAGGACTAGTTAGATATCTGGAATTCCATAATGGCCACAGTAATGCTCATTCTTACTGTCATACAGTTACTCATGAAAAGCTTTGCAAGGTGCTTTATAAACTTTCAAGTTTGTTTCCTGTTTTCAGTCTCCTTCTATAAGAAAATGTTAAGAATTAATATGTATAACCCCCAATGAAAAGAAATAAGATAACTGTGGGAGAAAAATCATCTAAAATATCCTGCTATCTAGAAATCTCCATTTTTTTTTGTTTTTTTTTTTTACTTCTGAATAAAAGCCTCCCCGAAAGAGCTCTTAACTCCAGATGACTGAATACATTATGTGCTCACCAATGTTTGTTCCAGGAACTGTTTGCAGATCACTTCAGCTATCAAATATATCAGACATTTAAAGCATCTACTAAAATCACCTAATTTGCTTTTTGCTTTAATTTGCTTTCTGGTATATCAACCAACACTTGAGGTGGTTCAAGTAATGTAAATTAATTATTATTCATATTCCAAGTCAGAAATACTGCTGTTGCTATTGAAAATAAATTGAGATACACATAGTTAAAACCATATATTAAAGGGTTAAAGTTGAAAGCTGATTTCTTAGATTGATTAGATGACACTTATGCTCTCATCAGGATTGTTCATTTTCCAGCTGAAGAAGCCCTCTCCTGCTTTGCAATTGACCAAAGCTGTCAGTCAAAATATTTAACTTCACATTGAAA